GATTCACCCTTTAATATTGTTTCATACCATGTTTGTAATGTAGAAATAAGCTGGGTAATTGTAGACCTCCCCTTTAGGAAACCGAATTGATTGGGATTAATTAAATTATTTGTCATGAGGAAGCTAATGATTTGTTGGGATATGATTTTTTCAAATACTCTGCAGATGGTGCTGGTTAGGGAGATAGGACGATAATTTGATGGATTTGATTTTAGCCCTTTTTTGAATATTGGGATGATGATAGATTCTTTCCATTGTTTGGGAATTTTACCATTGTCTAGTGATGTTCTGAATAGTTCGGTTATTACTGGAGATAGTGGTAGGTAACAATGTTTTAATATTTTATAGCTTATACCTTCCGATGAGGTTGAATTTTTTGCTGGGGAATTTTTGAGTGCGTTAGCCACTGTTATAATATCAAAGTTTACATCATTTAGATTATGGTTAGAATATTTGGGAAGTGTAGGAGGATCTCTGGAGGGAACATTCTCAAAGTATTTTGAGAACATATTTCCAAAAATATAACATTTATCAGCTTCCTCAGTAATAATTCTGTTATCTATTTCAAGAGTTGGGATTGGATCATTATTTTTTGTACGGTGTTTTATAAATTTATGAAGTTTATTATAATCTGAAACTATACCCCTTATTTTTTGACTGTGGAATTGGTTAATAATGAATTTGGTGGTTTTACAGATATCTTGATATTGTTTTTTTAGTTTAATGTTATAGTTATTTGCTTTCATACGGCGGAAAATTAATAGTTTCTTGTTAATTAAACTACTAATATATCTTGGATATTTAATTCTTTTATTTTCAGGTGTGGTTGAAATTGTTTTATTAGGAATACTCAGATCGATCTGGTTTTTGAGGGTATTTAGGAATTCAGAATATTTTGAATCAATTGTATAGAAATTATTAAGATGACAGAAATTGGTATAGTTTAATGCGTTTCTTAGTTTATCAATATTTTTATTGGACATGTCTCGGATTTGGATTGGTTTATTATTTTGAGGAATAGAGTTTAGCTGAAAATGTATTGAAAAGTGATCAGATATGCCATCCTTGACCTCATAGTTGGCGAAAAGAGTGGTATTATTTGTTAGTAAGAGATCAAGGATGGAACCTGATTGGTGAGTTGGTTCTAAAATGAGTTGATTAAAAAGGAAATTATGACAGAAATCAATAATCGAACTGTCTGTGTTGGTAGGATTATTAGGGTTATTCCAATCTATTCCCGGTAAATTAAAATCACCACATATAATGAAATCTTCCTGATGGAATTTTGAGAGTTTGGTAAATATTTTTTCAGTGTGGAGTTTCTTTGTGTTTGGTGGTCGATATATAAGTCCAAATCGAATGGACTTTTTGTTTTTTGGAAAATAATCGATAATTAGCAGGTCTATTCCGTAAAATGATGTAGAGGAGACTAGATTACAATTAAATTTGGATTTAGCTAGGAATGCAATCCCACCGCCCCTTTTATTATTTCTATTTGTGAGGAAAACCTGGAAAAGATTACTGAATGATAGTTCAGAAATGATCTTGTGATTATTAGTTATCCAAGTCTCGGTGATGAATAAAAAATCGGGATTTTCTGTGGAGATTATGTATTCTAAAGTTGGTAATTTGTTAAGTATAGATCTTGAGTTAAAATATATACATTTTAATTTGGGATTGATTTTTTGATTTATTAGGTTTAAACGGTAAAGGGGGTTATTTTTAATCTTTTTTGTATTAATTTCCTCATTAAAATTCTTTTTCCCGGGATTTGTGCATGTAAGTGGTTTGTTATAAGTATATGTAAAATTCTGTTTAAAAGAAAAATAATTAAACCTTAAATCACTGCATTGTGGCACTAAGAGTTTTTTTCATTCAAGATTTTACGTCGATCACTTATATTTCTGGTTTGCCAATTTTCTTTCTTCTCCGCTCTTTCTTCAGCTGTTTCTGACCAACGAATTGCAAATTTATCACTTCCAACCAGTTGACGAATTGTGTCACGTTTTTTAGTCCAATTTTTTAAAGCCTGAATTTGAAAACGCCGCGCCGGCAAGATCACCTTTAAAAGACGCAAACCTTTTTTTGTTGGGTCATGAACACCCATGCGATATACAACCGCAGAGCACTCGACGCCCAACTCGTCGAGTACGCACTTTACCATTTGGTGATCATCGGCTTGTCGAGCAGATGGTTTTGTCTTTTCACTTTCCGGCATACGAGTAAATACCAAGCTTCTTTTTCTCTCTTTTTCATCGGCACTTTGCTCATTATTAATTTTATTGAATTGATTTTGAATTTTTTCAAGGCTTTCGGAAATCGTATTAATTGCTGGTATTTTATTTTCAATGTTGTTAATTTTTGTTTGAAGATCAGTAAGAATTTTGCGAATTTCCGCAAGTTCTTTTGATGACATTTTTTAAAATCAATGAATCGATTTTTTTTTAAATCTTAAACTTGGGTAATTAAACCAAAAATAAACGGATAATAAATTATTTTGTTTTAAATAAATAATTTACTTAATTTTACTTAAATATTAAAATAAAAATATTTTTTACTTAAATATTTAATAGTAAATGTGTTTAACTAAAATTTAAAATTTCGAATCAATTTTTTATTTACTACAAACATATTTATTTATTTATTGATTTTTATAACAAATAAAAACAAATTTAAACAAAAAATCAAAATAAATTTAGAAAAGACAAAAGGAAAAATATTTTTTATTTTAAATTTTTGCAAAAATAAAATTAAATAAAATTAAAAAAAACTCTAAAATTCAAAGCTGTATAAAATTTAGAAAAAGACTCGACAGAAATTTAAATATTTAAATTTAATTATTAATTTCTTTATTAATAAATTATAGACAAAATTTAATAAAAAAAATTTTTTTTCAAATCGTCGGGTATACATATTTTGGTTTAAAAATTAAATTAAATTATACACGCCTCCACGTTTTTCAAATAAAAAAATTAAAATTTAAAATTTATAGCTCCTCTAAATAAATAAATGAGTGGAATGACGGATGGAATTTTTTAATTTTTTAAATAAAAAAATTAAAAAAAAAATTTTAAAAATTTAAATTTGCATTCTCAAAAATAATTTTGAGATAAATATTTTAATTATTTTGAGTAAATAAATGGCATAAACTACTAAATTTAAAAAATTTATTGTATATAATATGGATTAGAAATGCCATAGAAGCATTAAATAATTAACTTAATAATATTAAATTTTGAAAAAAAAGTTTTTCCTTTCCTCTCTCCCAAAAAATATTCTTTTAGAATATTCGAAAATTCAAAAAAATTAAATAATCTGAATTTCTTAAAATTTTTTAAAACCCTTCACTGTTGCCAGAGCTATTCGAACCTAAAAATTTTTTAAAAGGATTAGAAGGCAACCTTAATTTTATATCTTTCCAATTTTAATCTACTCATTAAAAATTTTTAAAATTTATTTTTATAGTTTTCCATCAATTTATTTTGTTGGGGTTAATCGTGAATTATATATGTAAAGAAATAACATTTTTTAACAATTCCTTATATTTTAGAAAATTTATAGAAATTTTTAAAAAATTTAGGGGAAAATAGAAGGAAATGTCATTCCTCAAAATTACTTTTTCGACTCTTTTATTGTCTTTACTTGGCACAAACATTTTTGGATTTGGTCCTTGTGATCGTATGAAATGTAAAAATAGAGTGGTAATTATTTAATATTTTAAAAAATAAACTTGAAGTGGTGTTGGAAGGGAACACGTTAATAATTTCTTCTAAATATTAATTGTGAATATACATATTTGAAAAATTTTTTTTTATTAAAAAAACTAAAAAACTAAAATTAAAAACTAACTTAAAAATTAAAAATTAAAAACTCTCATTTTTCATTAAAAATCATCAAAAAATATTTATTTTAATTTAGTTAGACGATACTTTATATGTGGATAAAGACTATGATTGTGGATATACTCGTCTTATACCTAATAGAAATAAAATAGGTTATGGAGGAAGAAATGAACATCAAAAACCAGTAGTTCAAATAAGTAATGGTGCAACACTTTCGAATTGTATAATTGGTGCAAGGAAAAATTATAAGGCGGCAGATGGAATTCATTGTGTGGGAAATTGTAAAATTAAAAATGTTTATCATGAAAAAGTTGGAGAAGATGCTATTACTTTATTGGGAACTGATCCAAATAGTCAATACATAATTGATGGGGGAGGTGCACAAAATGCTAACGGAAAGGTTGTTCAATTCGATGGAGCTGGAACGCTAACTATTAGAAATTTTCATGTAAGTAAATAGATAACACTTTCTAGATAAATTGGGCTTTGTTGACAGATAGACCTCGCCATAGGAGAACGCTCAATTTAAAAAGCTGGTTAGCCTCATTGTTGAAGGGAAAAAACCTAAAGGGAAATACCCCTTACATTTCGCTATAAGATACAATTCCTTTTGGCTCAAGTTGTCTTATAGTCCAAATAATAAATAATTTTCTTTTAAGATGAAAAATGTCTATGCAGGTATAGCCTCATGTGGAAATTGTTTAAAGCAATATCGAAATAGAAGAATTAATGTTGAGAATTTAATTGTGGAAAATCTTACAAAAGGACAATTTATTGTTGGAGTTAATGGAAATTATGGGGATAAAGCTACCCTTAAAAATATAACAATAAAAGGAAAATCAAAAAGACAAGTCTATCCGTGTAAAATATTTGAAGGAAATAATCAAGGAAAAGAGTCTCCAGTTAGAAGTATGCAACCTGACAAGGATCATTGTATTTTAATTGATAAATTACATATAAGTGCTGATGATACAAAGAAATAATTCTTTAAAAAAACTTTTTCCGAATTCCTTTTCTCTACTATATACCTCTAATTCCCTCTATTACATACCTCCTTTAATTTTTCTTTAAAATCTTTAATAAAATTATATTTAGCATTTAAATGATTGGATAAAGATTTATATATTTTTATTTTTTTATTTTTTTTTTAAAATCATTTTAATAGGGTTGTGTAGCAGGTGGTTGTTTAACTTCTCCTTTTGTTTCATTATTATTTATTTCTGTTGTTGTTATTAATATTCCTTCATCTTCTTTTTGTTTTTCTGTTGTTTCGATTTCTGAGTTATTTAATGTTGTTGTTGCCGGAGAAATGGATTCTTCTTCTTCGTTTAAAGATTTATTTAAACTTTTATCATTTCTTTCTATTCGTTTTTCTTCTTCATTTCCTTCATCCTCCTCCTCATCCTCAGTTCTTTCAAAATGTGAAGAAGTATCAGAATCAATTATAGAAGAAATATCTTCTGTGCATTCCTAAAAATGATTTTTTTAAATATTTTTTGTAGACATAAAAACCCCAAAAAATTATTAAATGACAAAACATCTTTATTAATAAAAGTATTTCTATTTTAATTAAATTAGTTAAAAATTCATTCCCTTATTTTTATATCGTAATTCTAACATATTTTACCTAAAAAATATTCCACAACTTACCTCACTCGAGGGGGCAACTTCCAAAGTATGAAAGTCAATATTGTTTTTATCATCCTCAATTAAATCATCTTTTGCTTCAATCAAAATAGGGAGAATGTGTGTATAAATACATTTTTTCTTAAAAAAATTAAAAAAATTTTAATTTCAATTTTTATTTAAAAAATAAATTTTGATGGATATCGCTTTAAAATTTAATTTATTTTAAATTATTTTATATACTTTTTCTTTAGTTTTGTTATCTTTAACAGAACAATTATGTTTAATACGTAAATACGGCTCAATCTTCCCAAACCATTCATTCTGTTCTCCTTTAATTTCATAAAATCCTTTAGAATCTGTATTTGTTATTCCAAGTAAATCATCAGGTTCAAAAACTTTTTTAAAAAATTATTTTTTAATTTAAAAATAAAATAAACTAACGATCAGCCTCTAAAAGTTCAATACTTGCTTTTGTTAAACCTTTTCCAGCACAAGTTAATTTTCCTTTAAGATGGACAACTTCGGAAGTTGACAAATTAAAGAAAAAGAATAAAAATAAAATATTTATTAACCCAAACATTTATTTTTAAATTAAAAAAAAATTTAAATTAAAAAAAATTTTGTATATATTCATTAAAGATCTCATTCATTAATATCAAAATTAACAATTTATAAATAAATAAGATTAGAAAAATTTTCAAAAAAAATTTTTAAAAAAAAGATTGTGATTTATCCAAAAATATTCAATAATAATTATTTATTCCCATAGTATAAATAGGATTTATTTTAGTATTTTATTCAGAAAAATAAATAAAAATAGGGTTATATTTAAATATTTTTTAAATTCACAAATTTATTTTCCCCAAACAATTATTTAAAAAAATTTTTTTAAAAGAAACTTTAAATGTAAAAATTTATTTTATTTTCTACCCTTAAATAGACCTTTTAAATTTAAATATATTTATTGTTCATTTATTTATTAGCCCAATTCTTGTCATTTTTATTATTCATTATTTCCTCTGCTTTATTTTATTTAATCATCATTTTTTTAAATTTAGTAACCCGAAAAAAATTTATTTTCATTCACCCTCAATTATTTTTTTAACAAAAAAACTTTTTTAAGCTAAAAAAAGAAAAAAATTTTGCACGAAAGGAAATTAAAGAAAAAGAAACAAAAACAATTTATTTAAAAAAAACCAAAAAAAAATTTCTCTTCATTATAGCTAATTTCCATTAAATAACAACAACAATATATTTTTAAATAAAAATTATGTAAAAGAAAAATTAAAAAAAGATGGACAAAATAATTTAAAATTTTTTAATTAAAAATTAAATTAATTTTGAAATTAAAATGTTGACAATTTTAAATAATTTTTTTTTATTTTTTAATTAAATTATTATTTGAAAGAGATTTAGACTAACTAGAAATTGACTATCTAGCATCTATACGAGATGTCTAGGCTTTTTACGAATATTTCTTCGACATATATTCTTGGCCAAAATGTTATTTCTTTTTTGAAATAATGATTTAAAAAATTAAATTTTAATTGAGTTTTTTTACTTTTTAGTCTCGATTAAATTAACAAACAGAGAGAGATTTTAATTTTATTTATTTATTCCAACTTTTTTAAATTTACATATTACCTGGAAAAAGATTTTTTCTTTCCTAAAATTTTAAAAAAAACTTAATAGTGATTCATAAATTTTAAATAACCAATTACTAATATTTAATTTTTTTTAATCATTTAAAATTATTACTCATACGATAATTTTTATTTTTCTTTTTGATAATTTTATCAGAATTATGTTAAGGAATATTAAAAAAGAATTTTTGTGTTAAGAAGAGGTGTGTTTAGATGGTATAGATTATTTTTTGGAATTATATTTAAATAAAATTATCAGTTTATTTAAGCAAAAATTTAGGAATTTAAGTAATTATTATATTTATTTATTAATAATTTTTAAAAAATGTAGAGAATAATTGAATAGTTCTTTTATAATTTTGCAAAGAATTAGTAACTTCTAAAGAATCTAAAAAATTTTATCTAATATTTTTTTAATTTTGTCTATTTCCTCAAAGTTTTGGAAAAAAATTCTTTAACTTCTGTGGAATTTATTTAACTTTATTTCACAGTATTGGCCGTTACAACGGGATTAAACCCTTTTTTTATCTCCTTATTATTATTTTCTCCTGAAAAAAACACAAATTGGTAAATTAAAAAAATATTGTTATATTCTCATGATTAAATTTTGGGAACAGATTATGATTATTTTAGCCAAAAATCTCTTTCATAAAATAAATTTCTTTAAAAAACAATTACTTCTTTTAATTAATTTATTTATTTTTAATCTTTTTTCTTTAATTAAAAATAATCAATTTTATTATTTTTTTGTATTTAAATTAATAAAGCTGTTTAAATATTTAGAAAAATTCCTGAAGATTTATAAATACCCTCTCTCTCTTTTAAATTAAAATTTTATTTTTTTTAGTTTTTTTATTTGCCAACACAGAAAATTTTTCTAAAATTCATTTAAAGTTTTACTCTTTTTAATTTTTCTCTTTCTCTTTTATGTCAGTTTATTATCAATTCTTTAAAATAAAATTTTCTAAATATTATTTATAAAATATTTTTTGAAAGAGTAATTAATTAAATATAAAGTTTTGGAAAAGATTTTAGGCAAGATAATTTTATTGTAATCTTAATTTCAATTGAATATTTTAATTTTAATTTAAATTAATAATTGAAAAAAAATCAAAGCAAATAGTAGTAATTTTCAAAAATAATTCTTTTGAAGTAATTACAGCGAAAAATTATTTTTTTGAGAATTTTTTTATACAGATTTAAGTTTTTTTAAATTTAAATCCCCAAAATTAAATTAAAATATATTTTTAAATTTTTAAAAATTGATTTAGTGTTTAAAAAAATTAAATTATGAAAATAAACACAACAGACAAAACAAATTTAAATTCCTTAACTTCTTCAAGTACAAGTTTGGGTAATTTATTTGTTTCTAATGATAGAAATAGTGCAACATTAACTCAAGATGGAGTTTCTGGCTCTGTTTTGCTTCTAATTACTTTTTTAAAATTATTTTCTTCTTCAAAACAGGGGAAAATAACGAAAGAAGGAAATAATATATTGAGGGTTAAATTAATTTAAAGAAATTAAAAATAAAATTATTTAAAAGGTTAATTATGATTACAGCATTATGGGAGATAAACAGATACAGCTTACTATTCATTGGGATTCTAAAAGTCATCAGAAATTGGATTTTTATAATTTCTATTGGAAAAAGCCTACGGGTTTAAATTCTTTACAGGTATGTGTAGTTAATTATTTTATGTAGAAATAAATTTTTGTGAATTAATTTAAAATAATAAAAATTTAATAATTTATTAATTTATTGATAAATAATTAATTTAATAATTTATTTAAAAAAAGGATTCAATTAATTTGGGATCAGATAATTCTGTCCACTGGTATGGGGGGATGAATACACACGAACAATCTTGGCCAATAAAAAAGAATGATTATAAATTGACAGAATTTGTTACTAATGATGTTATTCAAGTAGTTTTTATTTATTTAAATTTAAAAAAATAAATTTGAGACTGGAGTAACTGGTCAAGAACGTTATTGGCTTTCATCAAAAAAAGTTGTGTTGAATGTTCCTTGGAGTGTTCCGGTAAATTAAAAATATTTCTTCAAAATAAATTTTTCTAAATTACACTCCCACAAATAAAAATATATATCAGAATTTTATTGAATATACAGTCGAGAACTTTAGTTACATTTTTTCTATTTAATGATGGAGGGTGGGGAAATATTACAAATAATGGATAAATATAATTTTACCGACTGTACTTAATTCAAAAAAACCCTTAAATTATTAGAGTTTAGATTTTAAATTTAAAAAATTTTCAAAACAAATAGCTTTACACATCATTACAAAACAACGAATTAGACTTACAATCAAAATTAGATGAAGATTCTTCTTTTTTACTTCGTAACAATTTCCTTGAATATACTTTAGCTGTGCCTAAAGAATGGGATAAAATTTCATTAAAAGATTTCCATCAAGAATGCTTTGAATTATTTTTAGCGGCACCAACTGGTAAATTAATTTGTTTAAAAATTAATTTAAAAAAATTATTTTTAAGCACATCCAAGTTTGGAAATAATTAATAAACCAATTTGGTCAACTTGGGCTAATTTTTGGAAGGCTGTTGATCAAGATGGGGTAAAGAATTAAATTTAGTAGTTTATTGTTTCTCATTTGGACCGTGGGGGTGGGAGGTCTGCCGAAACTTGCACCCCCCCCCCCTGATATATTCTCCTCTTTTCTAAAATTAATTTAAATAAATTTTCTAGTTATTAGAATATGCTAAACAAATTTCTGATAATAATATGCCTATTTCACAACTTGAATTGGACGATATGTGGACTGTCACATATGGGGATTATCAAATTGATAAACGAAAATTTTCTAATTTTCCTGAAATGTTAAAAAAGCTTGAAAATGAATTTGGAATTAAAAGACTTAGTGGTAAATAAATTAAATTAACTTATTAAACATTTCTTTGAAATTAACAATAAATGTAATAGAAAATTGAAGAATTTGGCATTTAAATTAAAATACCTAAATGTCTAAAGCTATTATATATTTTTACTTTAATTATTAAAAGGAAGTAAATATTTTTCCTTAATTTTTAGCCTGGGTCCACCCATTTGTTGATGCTGACTCTGAAGTTGGAAAGGATCCTGAATTGCGTAATAAATTATTTGTTAAAAACAGAGATGGAGATGTACCTCTTGTTTGGTGGTGGGATTGCCCTGTTAAGCCAAGAGACCCATCAAAACCTGTTGGGCCAACAAATCCCGACATAAAAGAACCTTGTTCTTATGTAAATATTTAGTTATTTTAAATAATTTTAAATAACACTTTTAACCTTAATTTAAATAATTATAAGCTCCCCTTCTACTTTTGATTTAAAATTAAAAATCAGAATTATTTAAAGAAAAGATTAATTAAATATTAGGATAATAAATTATCTAAAAAATATTTAGTTTCTGTCCAAAAATATTTATTTTATAAAATAAGTACCTCTTTCACTCTCTCAATTAAAGGTTCTTGATGTAACAAATCCAGAAACTCGGGAATGGTGGTATAAACAATTAGAAGCTATGAAAGCGGTTTTGGATTAATAATTATTTTTTATTTAAATAAAAATAATTTTAGGAAGGAATTTGTACCTTTAAATTTGATGCCGGTAAATAATAAATGAAATGAAATTATTTGTAATTTAATATTTTTAGGAGAAGCTAATTGGTTACCACATAATTATGTTCTTTATGATGGAGCTTATCCAAATAGTTTTTATTTTTTAAAAAATATTTTATTTAAATTTTAAAATAAAGGTTATGGTAAGCATTATGCACATTTTGCTTCTCGTTTTGGTTCTGCAGTTGAAAATCGTTATGGAAGTGGTACCCAACAAACTAATTTCTTTACTAGAACTATTGACCGTAATTCTTATTGGTAAATTTAAAATAAATTTTTTAATTTAATTTTTTAATTAAAAGGGATAAAGATGGGGGGTTGTCTACATTAATTCCTTGGTTTGTTTTCTAAATATTTTTAGAAAAATATTTTTATTTTTAAGGGCATTACAATCATCCCTTCACGGTTATTATTGGAATTTGCCAGATATGATAGGAGGGAATGGACTTAATCATAATGAAAGTAATATTCGTGGAGAGCCTCCGGAAGAGGAATTATATATTAGATGGACACAAGTATTTTTTGAGAAAATTAAAGATTAATTTTTATTTTGTATTTTTTCTAGGCGAATACTTTACTTTTAGCAATGCAATTCTCTTATCCTCCTTGGCATTCTAAATATGGGGGAGAGGTTGTTAAATATTTAATTTAAAAAATAATTATTTTTAATTTTTAGGTACTTAATATTGTTAAAAAGTCTCTCGAAATTCGAAAGAAATGGATGCACTATTCAATTAAAAATGTTAGAAAATCTGTGGAAGAAAAAGTTCCCGTTATTCGGTAAAAAAAGAATTTTATTTTAAATATTCAAAAAATATTCTTTCTTATTTTTCAAGTCCAATGTGGTGGGCAAGTGATGACAATGAAGCATTAACAATTGATGATCAATTTATGGTCGGATCTGATTTAGTTGTTGCCCCAGTAATTAAATCTGGTTAGAAAAAACAAATAATTTGTTATTAAATTTATTTTTAGGCCAAAAAGCTCGAAATGTTTACCTTCCTGAAGGTAATTGGCGAAATGGGAATAATGTTTCCGAAGTTGTTAAAGGCCCAACAACAATTAAAGATTATCCGGTAGATCAATTAATTAATTTTTTAGGAGAAATTAATTTAATAATTTTAAAAATATTGTAATAATCCTCAAAAGTTTTGAATTTTTTAAATTATTTGAAACAAATAAAACTCAAAATCTCCTAGTATCACTGCGCGGCAGAATTAAATAGCCTAATAATAAATCCAAGTTAAAGCCCCTCTAACAAAAGTTATTCAGATTAATTTATTTAAAATTTATTTTTTAAGTCTCCATTGGATGTTCTTCCTCATTTCTATCGCACAGATTCTGATGACTCAGGCAATGGTAGCTCCTCGATTTTCGGATCATCTACAGGATTATTTAGTTTAATAATTTCGATAATAATTTCTTTATATTTTTTAAATTAAATTTTAATTTTATGGTAATTTTGGGGGGGTGGGGGGATATATTTTTATTAATTAATTTTGATTATTTTTTAATAGAATTGCCATTTAAAATTTAAATCAAAATAAAAATTCTATAATATCTAGATTTTATAAATTTGATTTAAAAATTAATTCAAACAGATAAAGTTAATAAATCCCAATTTTAGCTAACTATATAATCACCATTTATCTCTAAAATTATTTTCCTATAAAAATTATTAGATCAAACAAAGTAATAAATTTATTTGGCAATTTTATTTAATTATTCAAACATAAATATTAATTATTTTCTTTTTAATTATATTTGAATTTTGCATTTAATTTTATCGGGAAAAATAAATTAATTATTTAAATTATTTGAATTTTAAATTAAATTTTTAAAGTTTTTATTTTAAATTTTATAATTGTAATTTTTTATTCAAAAAATTATTCTTATATTAATTTTTAAATTAAATTTTAATTTTAATTTGATTTTTACTTACAAATTACTAAGTCTTGCGCATTTTTAGTACTAAAATGTATTTTTATTATTTATAGAATATCCCTGAACTGGAAATAAAAAAATACAAATAACCGGCTGGACAACAAAAACTAAAAAATAAAATAATTCTCTCCCTCTTTTTTATAATAATTATTAATTCAGTCCTCGTTGTTTCACTCAAAAATCATTCAAACGTAAATTGCCAGCAGTAAATAATTCTATCAGATTCTTCTGGAAATAAATAAATAATTCTTTGTTAAATTTGTTTTTAACAAAATTATATTACATATTACTCGATTACTATCATTCGGGTCTTTTGTGACAATCAGAGGAACACTTAACTCCGATTTTCGATGTTTTTTTAAATTAAAATTCGTCTTAACTCTATTATAAATTATTTTTCATTTTATTCAGATGAACAAATTTAAGGTATACAATAGAATTACGTATATGTATAAGTAATTATATCTTCAAAAAGACCAAAAAATAATATTAATAATAAATATAGTATTTTTATATACAATACTTATAAGCATCTGTTCAATCATCAAAAAATTGTTTTTCATCTTTTCTATAAAATATTTGTACAAGTTGAAAAGAAAGGAGAAGAGATTTTTATTTTTGTTGAAAAGAAAAGGAAAAATCCAAAAATGGATTTGGGCGGATTTTTTTACTTAAAATGCACAATTAAATAAAAGCTCGCAATTTTTAGATTGTCATATATTCACTTAGAATAATTTTAAGTAAAAATATTTCTTTAAATAATTCTTTTAAATATTTTTATTAACTTGAATGAATTAAATTAAGGAAGGGATTTAAAGTGCCCATTGAGTTTCTAAAATTTGGTCCTATATCAGAATATTTGTAAAGATACGAATTTTGCTATATATTACTTTACAAGCATTATTATTAACAATACAAATTAACTTATTAAAATTTTGAAATGAATCCGTTTTAATTTTTAATTTTCAAATTAAAAAAAAGATTTCAAAAAATGTATCATTATTTATTATCAACTACTACAATAATTCTAATTTTAAATTTAAATTTAATTTCTGCTCAAGATATAGGCCAGAATTTAAATAATAATGCCCAATTAGAACAATTTTTAAATCAACAACAAAGCCAAATATCTATTGACTTTCCTTCATCTTTAAATAACGGGCTAGTTTAAAAAATTTATACAAAAAAATCTTTAATCAAATTAATTTCAGAAATCTCCACCCCCAACAACAATTAGTAATTCCCCAAACAGTTAAATCAACAGATAAAACTTCAATATTTCCTTCTTCTCAATTACCTTTTGATGGAGTTCCGCCTGGATTTGAGACAGTTTTGCCTATCGAAGTTTTACAAAAATTGAGGGAATTGCACAAAAACACAAATATTCCTTTAACAGTTAATTAATTTTTAAAAATAATTTAAAATTAAATTAATTAGTGAGAAACTGAGAGGTTAAATAAATATTATTATTTTTGGAATAATTTTAAAAAAAATAAAAATAATTAATTAATTTTCAAGATTTAATCTCTTCCTCTCTATTTATTTACATAATATTCTCTTTAAAAATTACTATAATTTTTTATTATAAATTCCAGAAAATAATTATTTATTAGAAAATTAATTAGAATTAAATAAAAAGCTTTAACAAAAAAAAGTAAAAACATCCAAAATTTTCTTTTAAAATTTTTCGCCCCAAAACCTTTTTTTAAATAATTATTTTAAGCAAAAACAATCAGAATTTGACAAAATAATGACTTCAGTTTCACCAAAATTACTTGCTAAACTTCCTTTACCCCCCGGATTTGAAGCTTTGCCTTCCAACATTAAAGAGAAAATAAAAGAAATTAACGGTTAATTTAAATTTAATTTATTTATTTAAATTCTTTTTTAGGTGACCCTTCAATAGATTGGAGTAAAAAACATTTAAAAGTTAAAGAATTAATTGGGACATTACCCCAACAACAACATCCACATCCTCTATTACACAACCCTTCTATAAGAATTCCATCAACACAAATTCAACAGACAAATTCTGGAAATGTTATTCCTGAATTCTTTCCACCTAATGTTTTTATTTTAAATTTTAAATTTTTTAAATAAGCGAGAGAAAGGGAGAGGAGATAATTCGAATACTAAAATTAATTAATTAAACTAAAATTATTTTTATTTAATTTCCTTTTTTTCTCCACAGCCTCCTCCCGGATTCGAAAAAGTTTTACCCCCAGAAGTATATCAACAACTTTTACAAATTCACCGTTCCCCTCAATTAACTGTCCAACAAAAAAGTCTTCAAATAGATCAAATAATGCGTTCATTGCCTCAAAACATAATTGACAATTTGCCTTTGCCGCCGGGCAATTTTTAAATTAAATAAAAAATAATTTTAAAATTATTTTCTTGCCAGGTTTTGACAAACTTCCCCCAAAATATATAAAAGAAGTTAGGAAAATTTTTGGAGATAAATCTTTAAATTTTCAAGTAATTTTTAAAAGAAATATTTTCTTTAAAATAATTTCCAAGGAAAAAGACCAGAAAATTGTTGAATTTGTTCATTCATTGCCTCTCGAATTGCGAAAATTAACTCGCCCGCCATTACCGCCAGCATTTGAAAAATTAAATTTTGAAGTTTTAAATTAATTAAATAAATAATTTTAAATTAAATTTTAGACAAAAGAGAAAATATCTAATTTATTTGATGATATTACTTTGGATGATAAACAACGACAAAATAATTTTTGGAAAATTGTTAATCAACTTCCAGAGGATGAAAAAGCTAAAGTTAATGAAGCATTTAAATTTCCTTTTTAAATAAATTTAGAAATAAATATTTTCTCTTTTAAATATTTTATTAACAATTTTTAAGTAGTTCTTAATTATTCCAAACAAAAATATTTAAACGAGAAAATATTTAAATTTTGTCTTTCATTTGTTTTTAATTAATAAAATATTTTCAAATTTGGTTTTTCTTTTATTTTGAGGTGATTAGGAAAACTTTTTGGGAATTTAATTATATAAAAGATATTACAAAAATAGTGAGTAACCCCCTTTTAGTTTAAAAACATAATTTACCACCTTCAAATAAAAAAACTGGGTAATTTAAAAATATTTTTTATTAAAAATAATCATGTGGATTGTTTTTTTGTAAAAGAGAAGTAACGGAAATATTTGGCGAATTATTTAAAAATAAATATATATATTTATTTGTAGCACTAATTTGGCGAATATAAAGGAAAGTTTTTTTTATTAAAAGAAAAATTAAAAATTAATTTTTTAATTCTTTGATAGTTCAATTTGTTAAATATATTTTTGTGAAAAATAATTAAATAAAAGAGCTACAGAAATAAAATTTAGATCATTTCCAAATAATTTTCTGATTATTCAAAAGATTGTTTTCCAAAGGATAAAACAAACACTAAAATTTTTAAAAAGATTTTCTAGTTTTTAACAAAAAATATAAATATTTATTATATAATATTCATTTCCAATTAATAATATGGCATCTTTATTATCCTTTTCTCTACTTTCTTTGGTTTTTACCTTTTTTCTCATCACAACACAAGCAAGGCCAGAATATCGTCAAATCTCTAATGCTAATTCATCGTAATAATCATTTTTTAATTTTTAATTATAAAATTTAATTAAGTAATCGAGTAAAACGTTTTGGCGGTTGGGGAGGTGGTACTTATCGTTATGGACCGTGTGGCTATGGTGGTTGTTCTGGAGGCTCGGGATTTGGATATGGAGGTGGAGGGTATGGAGGAGGAAGAGGAGGGTATGTTAACAGAACATAATTTTTGATAACTATCCGTTTAAAAATTTAAAATAAAATTAATATTTTTAAATATTAAAGTAAGTCGGTTATTCCCTTTTTAAAAAGTGTACATATTTATAATTTAAAAATTTCCAAAATAAAATTTAATCAAAATCCAAATATTTAGTTATGGCGGACGTGGACCATGCGGTTCAGGCGAACATCACAGCGCAGAAGTATACGGCTGTGGTAGCAGATATGGAAGAAGATGAAAATAAAATTTTAAATAATAAAGTATAAAGACAATGTTTATCTTGTTGATACTGCAAAAAACGAATATTTTTCTTTAGTTTTTAAAATATTCCAAAATTAAAAAATATTTTTAAAATTAAGAGGAAATCAAAAACTAAATTAAGTCGCTTTAACTTGTTCATACACTATAATCGAGTTTTGCCGAGACGAGTAGAAGAAACTTGGAAATTTAAAATAATTTATTTATTTAATTAATTAATTTAAATTTTTTAAATAAAAATTAAGTAAAATCAATATAATATTTTATTTTCTCTAACATTCTAAATATTATTTCTTAATTTTTAAATCAATTATTGAAAAATCAAATTTACATACACTCTAAAAGGGCAAATAATGCCGACCCCCCCCCCCCATCCCCTCCTTCCCACGTTAATTCTTAATTAATTGACAAACATTCATAAATTTAAATTTGGCAATAAACAATTATGAAATTTAATAAAAAATAAAAATTATTTTTATTAAATTAATTTTTACATAATTCAGAAACTATATTAAAAAGAAATAATTCATTTTCCTCTAATAAAAGAGAAGAAAATGCTAATAATTTTCAAGTTTAACGGAGTAGTTTTTATAGAATAATTAACTTGATAAATTAAGTAAAGGAAAAGTTGTTTTAGAGATACCCCTTAAGTTTTGATTCTTTTAAGTAATTTACTATAAAATTAATTTTAGATAAATTTTTAAAAATGGGTAGTGGCATTTGGCCACAAACCCATTCTATTTTTAAACAATTTATTTTCCTTTTTATTTGGATATTGCCGATATTTATTGCTAGAGTTATTATTAGCAATAATTCTGAAAGTATTGACAATGTTATAGAACATTTCCCTTCAAATTTTGGAAAAAAAGTAACTTTGGAAAATGATGGAAATGATCAGAAAAAAGTTGAAATATTTAATTTTGATAAAGATTTAAATGAAAAATTAGAAAAAGAAAAAGGTGAAGATGGGAAAGAAAAAGGAGTTATGGAGAATGGAATTACTGAAAAACATGATGAAGGAATTAAAGGTTTTTTAAAATAAATTTTAATATTCACATTCCTTGAGATAAGGGTTTGTGTGGTTGTTTAAATAAATAAAAATATATTCGTTAGTATTTTCTTGATGAATTCGATTCGAGTATTTAACTCTAATTATTGCGTCAGGAGATTAGTTCTTCATTTACAAAAATAGGAAAACTTAAGAAAAGTAAACTTATAATATTTAATTAAAAATATTTAAGACATGAAAGTAAAGGAAGTTAAAGAAATTCTGAAAAAGGAAGTACCTAATAATTTAGAGAAATTAAAAAATGTTAAAGAAGTAAACAAGCAAAACCAAAATTTAGAAAACAAAACAAATCAAACAATTCCACAATCACCAATTCAAACAAGTGAAAAGGAAACCCTTAAAGATAATCAAGAAATTGTTTCTCATATTGAAACTTTAAATAAAAAAATGAAAGAAAATATTGAAGAATTATCAGAGTTAATGAAGGGTAAACCAAAAAATGAAGAATTAAACAAATATTTAGGGCAATTTGGAATGATACAGGGAGATTTAGAAGAAGATGAAGAGGAGGAAGAAGAAGAAGAAATTGAGGAAGAAGAGGAAGTAGAACAAATAAAGGAAGAAAACATAAATGAAGATAAAAATGGAAAAGTGGATGAAAAACAAGATTTGGATAAAAATAAATTAAATGATCCAAAAGAATTGGAAGTTTTGGAAGAAAAGGAAGAAGAAAATGAAAACAAAAAGGTAGAAAAAGAAAATGAAGAAACGTTAAAAGAAGATCAAAAAGAAAATACAAAAATAAAAGAAAATAAACAAATTGAAGCTCCAATAGAAAAACAATTGAATAATGAACAGAAAATTATTGAGAAGGAAATTAATTTTGAAACCCCAAAAGATGAAAATAAAAAAGGTTTAGAAGAAGTTACAAAACCAGAAAATGAAGAAATAAATGGAACAAAAGAAGAATTAAAGAAGTGTAATGAAAAAGAAAAATTGGAGAATAAAAAGAGTAAAGAAGAAGTTGAGAAAATAGATTTAAAACAAAATCAAACAGAATCAAAATTTGAAGAAATTAAAAAAAGACTTGAAGAAATTGAAAAAGAAAAGAAGCAATTAGAAGAACAAATTGAAAAAATGAAGGAAAAGGAAGGAAATAAAAAGGAAGGAAAAATTGAAGAGAAAGAAGAAACTAAAGAAGAGAAAGATCAAGTAAATGAAGATAAAATAAATAAAAGTCCTCAAAAAATTGTTAGTAATTCTATTCCAAATTCACAAGAAAGAGATAAATTATGGAGAAAGATTTGGAAATCCTTACGTAAACAACAAAAGAAAAAATTGGTTTGGAAAGCACTAGAAAATCGAAAAAAGCAAGGAAATATTGGAGGTAATAAAACAGAAAATTCTGGAAATCCAAAATTGGAAAATCCAAAAAAAGATGTTGAAAAAGAAAATAAAGAATTGGAAAGGGAACAAAAGAAGCAAGAAATTAAATTAAAAGAAGAAGAAAAAATAATCAAAAAAGAAGAAAATACTCCAAAAATATTAGAAAAAGAAAAGGAGGAAAAAAAGGAAGTTTTGAAACAAAAATTGAATGAGGATATAAAAAATATTGATGAAAAGAATGATAAAGAAAAATCATTATTAAATGAACCTGTTAAGGGAACTGTGGAAAACAATAAAAAAGGAAAGGATAAACAGGAAACTGATAAAAACAAAATGCCAACTAAAGAAGTAAAAACAAAGGAAACAAAAAAAGAAGAAACGAAACAAAAAGAAGTTGCAAATGAAATGAAAAAAGAAAAATTGAAAGGGGAAGATAAGGCTACGAAAACGAATTTAGAAAAAGCAAATACTGTTAAAAAAGAATTAAATGATCAAAGCAAACCAAAAAAGGAAGAATTAAATGTAAAAGAAAATGAAAAAGAAAAAATTAATTTGAAAGAACAAAAATTGGTAAAGAATGTTAAAAAAGAAGAAAAAGAAGGGAAAGATGGCCAACAATTAGTAGATAAAACAGTGAAGACTTTGGATAAGGAAGTAGAAAAGAAGAAAATCGAAGAACAAAAACAAACGAAGAAAGAAGAAGAGGAAAAGAAGGGTAAAAAGAAAAGTTAAAAATTTAAAAATATATTTAATAACATTTTTAAATAAATTTCAGAAATTGCCGACAACAAAAACAACAAATTACCTAAACAAAACAAGAAAGGAAACAAACAAACAAAGCATAGCAGTAGTGATGAAGATGAAGACGATTCTGAAGAACATATTCCTTATAAACAAGCATTTGCTGATTTTTGATGAGAAAAGAAGGGAGAGAGAGGGATGATTTTTGATGAGAGAGAGGGAGTGGGAGAGAATTTATTATGTATTTTTTATAGAAAATGTACATATTATTAGCTTTGTAAACTAAAAAAACATTTTTCCATTTTTGGAAATTTTACAATTTTTATTTAAACATTAAAGCTTTAATAGACACTCGTGATTATGTATGTAAAAAACATTTTCTGGTATAGGATTTTTCAGAAATATTTCTAAAGTATTTCTGTAACTTTCAATTTTATAAAATAGTGATTTTTAAAATTTAAACTCTCTATTAAAGCTTTATTTATTTTTATTTTATTGCAATTTTTTATGAAATTTAAATATGTATTATATATTATTTTTTAAGATTTATTTGTTTGTTTAAAAATTTTTAAATTAAATATTTAAATGTTATTTTTTAATTAGGATTGTTTTGGGAAATAAGGGAGTTTTAGAAAATATTTTTAAGGAAAGAGAATATTAGGACAGAAAAAAGAATTAAAAATAAATTTATTTTTTTGTAAAGAAATATTTTTTGAGAATTTTCCCGTTCTTTAAACAACAATTGTTGTCTAATATTTTTTAAGCACATGTTGAATTGATTTTATAAAATTATAAAATTCTTTGAAAGATTTATTTAAAATATTTAAACATCTTTTAAAAAATTAATTTTTAAATTAAATGAAACCAAAATTCTGTGCTATATGTAAACAACAAATTGGGGCTATTGAAGACAAAGTTTTGGTAGAAAAACATACTCGTGAGTTTTTATTCAAAATTAATTGTGAATAAAATGACTTGGGGAAGTTTGTTGGGAAAGTGTCACGGGAGGGGCATCATTACAGAAGAAGGAATACTATTAAATTCATCTAAACTTTAAAAAATATTTGTTTTTAAAAAGTCCATAAACGTTGTTTTAACTGTGCAATTTGTGATACTTCTTTAATGGCTGGAAATTGTTCAATTGATGATACAATATTTCAATATTTTGGGCCTTTATGGTTCTGTCCTGCTCATAAAATGCTTGGTTCTGGTGAAAAATTAAAACTTTTAAAAGCAAAAAATGGAGATCCTGGACAGAAATAAATTTTAGAATTTTGTTTATTTAAATACAAAAATATATTTTAAAATAATTATGTTTAAATTTAAAATACTTTTTTAATTTTAATATTTTTAATTATAATAAATTTTGGAGAATAAAGTTTATCAATAAAAGGACTAAAAATACAACTTCAAAAAACATGCATAGCATGTAAAAATGATTTTCTTTTAAAAAATAAAGAATAATTTAAAAAAACATGTGGATATATAATATCCAAAAAATCAAAAAGATTCACAATTTTGTTTGTAGAGGTTGAATAAATAATAATTGGAGTATGTGTGGTAAAAAATAATTGTCGAGAGGTAGTTAAATACAAAGGGGACAAAATTTAAAAATCCAAAAAAGCCCTCACACTCTTCGATCTCAAAAAATATCTCTTTTTGCCGACTTTTATTTTTGAACATCTTCAGCAAAATTTCCTTTTCCTTTAGTTAATTCAACGCTTTCTTCAGAATCCTCATAGCTGCTTTCATCTGAATGATTCGATTTTCCCAACGCTTTTTTCTCCAGCTTTTTTCCTTAAAATTTTATTAAATACTTGCACAGATTTGATAATTAATTTACCAAGTTTTGTTTTGTGTTTCTTTCCTTCTCCATTCTTTTGAGATGAAGGTTTTACAATGTCCTTGTTGATTTTACTTTGATTTTCAACTTTATCCTTTTTAACAATAACTGCTAAATAATTATTAGAAATTTTAATTACATGAAAATGAAATTTTTATTTAAAAACACCTAAAATTTTTTAAAATTTCTCTCACCTTTCTTACTCAAATCTTCTTCTAATTTATGTTTTGTTTCATCATGTTTAATTGTTGTATCAACAATCTTCCCATTTACTTTAGGCTTTTCTTCCTCTTTTTCTGGGATTTTCAACTTACCTTGTTTACCTTTTTCCTCTATCATTTCACTATCCTTTGTTTTGACTTTTTCAGTTTCCTTCTTGTTTTTATCTTTTTCCTTGTCTTTATTAGTTTCGTCTATTTTAGTTGTTCCTTTTTGTTTTTCGCCTCCTTTCAATACTTTTTTATCCTCACCAGATAATCTACCTTGGTCGGTTAATTTTTGGGGATCTGTAGGTGATTTGTTTTTAGTTAATTTTTGTTGTTTTTCATCCTCATCTTTTTTGCTTTCTTCAGGTTTTAATTTTTCAATTATTTGGCCATTTCCTTTAGATTTTTGCAAAACTATTTCTTTCTTCACCTCATTTCCATTAACCTTTTCTTTTTCACCATTTCCTTCTTTTAATTCTTCTTGATTTTTTGGTTTTTCAATGGAATTTTCTTCAGTCTTAACATTTTGTTCATTACTAATGTATTGCCAAAATGACTGCCAAAATGATAGTTTATCCTGAGCATTTTCTTCTTTCCTTTCAGTCTCTGGTGATTCTTCTTTACCTGCTGGATCAATCTGTTTATCCTTCTGTTCTTCAGTTGTCTTTGATTCAACAACTTTCTTTTCCAAATTTAATTTTTCTTGGTTTAAAGCCTCTAGTTCCTTTTTCTTTTCAACAATTTTAGTTTCAATGCTTTTATTACCCTGTCCATTAATTTTGGGTACTTTCTTACCTTCTCCTTTAATTTCCTCCTTTAATTCCTCAATATGGCTACGTTCAATTCCAGAAATCAAACTTTCACTTCCTTCTTTTAGTTTACTAGTTTTTGTGCTTTTATCATTAACATCACTTCCAATTACTCCGGGTTTATCAGGAATGACAGGCAATACTTCTTGAACATTGTCTTTAACTACAAAAGCTACTCCACTGGGAATTACCAAAATAAAATGTCCAAGCAAAGGAGGCCACAAAACAATTAAAGTTTTTAAAGCACTCCGCATTTAGGGGAATTAAATAGAAATAAATAAAATGAGGAGTGAAGAAATCGAAGCCCTTTAAAAATTAATTTGTGAGTAAGCTGCCAATAACTATTTCACGTGTTGCCCTTTTTGACACTCCTCCCCACCTCGAGAATATGCGCGAGTGATGGATGCGCTGTTATAGGCATTTAAAGACTCATTATGAAAGGAGGGAGAGAGAGGGAGAGATAAAATTTGGCAATTAGCCCTCGCACTTTTACATTGCCAACAACATAAAAAGGTCAATATTTTCCAATATTGCCGATAATATTGATTTATTTTAAAATATTTTTTAATTTAATAAAAATGTTTAAGTGAATACTACCGTATTAATCAATTAAAGATCCGTGAATTTTGATAAGTTAAGGAATTTTTTAAAAGATTCTTGGGTAATCCTAAGTGTTAATGTTGGCTGTGGTTCTGCCATTTCTGAATTTTCATTTTTAAATGTTTTAATATCGTAAAATTAAAATCACGCAAACTGCCAATTTTTAGACTGCCAACTAGCCTACTGTATTTTTCTTGGAACAGGCCAGCCACTGGCCAGTTGAGTGTCAGCCAACTTTGATCATCAAAAAGTTATCATAGATAAACGATGTCAAGGGAGAAAAAATCAGTTTTCCGTCTGTAACTTTTTTGGTGATGTCAGATCGGTCCATTTTTAAAAAGATGCTGAATCTCGAGACCTTTCGAATGATATAAGAATTATCCGGATCGGTCGAGAATCAAGGCCATACACTGAATCGGCGATACTGAATCGTCCTTTTCCGCACTCAACCGACCCCAATCTCCTTTTGTGTTTTCGAGTCTCATTTTATTTCATAAGTTTTTTTTATTTGTCATCCAGTCATGTGACTTTATTTTATTTTTGTTCTAGAAAATTTTTATTTTTATATTTCTTCGTTTCAATTTAATATATTTTTAGCTATATTTTACATAACTATCCAATTCTCTATTCGAATATGCAGATCTTCGTAAAGACGTTGACTGGAAAGACCATCACTCTTGAAGTTGAAGCCTCTGACACAATTGAAAATGTCAAGGCCAAAATTCAGGATAAGGAAGGTATCCCGCCTGACCAACAGCGTTTGGTTTGTGAATTTTTACCATTATAATTAAAATAATTCAATTCTCAGATCTTTGCCGGGAAGCAGCTCGAGGACGGTCGCACTCTTGCGGACTACAATATCCAAAAGGAGTCGACTCTCCATTTGGTTTTGCGTCTCCGCGGTGGAATGCAGATTTTTGTGAAGACTCTTACTGGAAAGACTATTACTCTTGAAGTGGAAGCCTCGGATACTATTGAGAATGTGAAAGCTAAAATTCAGGACAAAGAGGGTATTCCACCTGATCAGCAGCGTCTGGTTTGTTTTCATTTATTATTCTGACTTTTTTTTGTTAGATTTTTGCTGGAAAGCAGCTTGAAGATGGCCGAACTCTTGCGGATTATAACATTCAGAAGGAGTCTACACTCCATCTTGTTCTCCGTCTTCGAGGTGGAATGCAAATTTTTGTTAAGACGTTGACAGGCAAGACTATAACTCTCGAAGTTGAGGCATCGGATACGATCGAAAACGTCAAAGCCAAAATTCAAGACAAAGAGGGGATCCCGCCAGACCAGCAGCGTCTGGTTTGCTAGCCTTCTGTTATTCTTATCTTTTCATGTTTAAGATCTTCGCTGGTAAACAGCTCGAGGACGGTCGTACCCTTGCAGACTACAACATTCAAAAGGAGTCTACTCTCCATCTTGTTTTGCGCCTTCGTGGAGGAATGCAAATCTTCGTCAAAACTTTGACTGGTAAGACTATCACTCTTGAAGTTGAGGCATCCGACACGATTGAAAATGTCAAGGCCAAAATTCAAGACAAGGAGGGCATTCCACCAGATCAGCAGCGCTTGGTTTTATTTTATAGTTTGACAGTTTCTTAATCTCCATTTTCAGATCTTCGCTGGCAAGCAGCTTGAAGATGGTCGCACTCTTGCTGACTATAACATCCAAAAGGAGTCCACGCTTCACTTGGTCTTGCGTCTTCGCGGAGGAAAGAATTAAGAAAAGAGATAAATAAAAGAAATTTTGTCGATGTTTCGGACATTATAATTCAATGATTTTTTGCTTATAAATTATAGATGCGATTTTTTTTAGGGAAGCTAACTTTAAACCGTAACTTCTTTTTATCTTCTGATTAGGTCATTTTCTTTCAGATATCGGGAAAAATCGCATCTCAACATAAATCGATACATAAATGCATAACCAAGCAAAAATAAAATTCATTTTCTTTTTTAAAAAGTTTATTTTTCTGTTGATGAGTTTGCATCGTATCTCCAAAGTTATTTCTCATTATTTGCTGGTCTATATTTGAAGATTCAGGTTTTGTCAAATCATGTCGTTAACACCATCTTCTAGTATCCCGGGACATCGCCGAACTTGGGACAAAACTGAATTCGAGATAAGGGCTCAAGAGCGTTTGGCAGCTGAAAAAGAAGCTTTTGATATTAAAAGAGGAGTAATTAAACCGCCTAAAGGTCCTAAAGTGCAACGAGAATTGTTAAAACCTCGGGAATTTAAGGTTTTGATTAAATTATTAAAATATTTTCAAGTTCAGTTGGATCTTGAATCAAAAGTTGGGAAACAAGTTGTTATAAATAAAACGACTCCTTCGGCTGAAAGTGGTGGATATTATTGCAATATCTGTGATTGTGTGGTTAAAGATTCTCTTAACTTTTTGGATCATATTAATGGGAAAAATCATCAAAGAAATTTGGGTACATTTTAAGTTTATTTTTACTTTTAAAAAAATTTAGGTTTTTCAATGCGTGTTAAAAAAAGTACAGTTGATGAAGTTCGTGAACGATTGGCATTAAAGAAGATTGAAAGTATTTTATTTTTAATTATAAATAATTTAAAAATTTTTTTCAGAAGAATCTAAAGGTCGTGATAATGAAGAAGAAAGGCAGAATGATTTAAAAGAGGAAGAAGCTAAACTTGCTGATTTTAAACGTCAACAACGAGAACGGCAAAAGGAACAGATTCGAAAAAGACCAGCTAAAGTTTTAATTATATTTTATAATTTTTATTTAAAATATTTCTTAGAATAATTTGGAAGAAGTTTCTGCCGATCCTGAACTTTTGAGTATTATGGGAATTGGTAATTTTAGCAGTAAACAACAACAAAAGAAGAAAAAATAAAGAATTGTGATTGAGGTATTAAATTGATTTTATTTTAAAACAATATTATGTATGATGTTTTGATCTGTGAGTTCTAAAGTTTTTTTGTATTAATTCTTTAAATTCTCTATGGGATAAAATTTCAATTAATTGTCTGAATGTTTTACTTTATATTTATTTTTTAATTTTAGTATCTGTTATATATTTTAATTTTATAAATAAACTACTTATTAATTTATGTCTTCATCTATTTTCAAAGTTTTGATACAAAACAAAGAATGAAAATTGCTTCCGTCAATAAAGAAATTTGCAAAGCAAATGAAAATGTTAGTTTGTCTGAAAGTGAATTGTCTAGCTCTGAAGGTGAAATGATGGAGGATGATCCACAAATTGAGGATGATGAGCAAGAAGGGGAAGATGAATGTGACAATGAAGAGGAATGCACTATGTCCGATGATGAGGTGGCTGCTTTACGAACTAGTAGGTTTTGTTGAAGTTTCGAAGTATGGGAATAATTGTGTATTTTTTGGTTAGTGTTAAATTTTTAAATGTTGACTTTCAGTCAGCTGCTCCGGTTAAGTGGAAACAAAATCTTTTTATATTTTGTAACACTAATTTTTCAGAAATCTCTTCGTTCTCTTTAAAAAAGTTGGCGGAATTAAAATCAAAGATTGGTTTGGAATTGTTCAATAAAATAATGTATGGAAAATCAATTAGTTCCTTTAATGAAGACAATTCAAATAAAATTCAATCAAAAAAGAGCGGCGGAACTCATGTAAATTAATTTTTATTTTTTTGTCAAAATATTTATAGAGACCTCGAGTAGAGTCATCTACTCGTCCTCCACCAAAATTTCGTTCAATTAGAGGTTTAGAAGTACGGAAGGCAAAAAATGCTCATTTTGACCCTCGTTTTGCTGCTTCATCAGGAGATTTTGATCAAATAGCTTTTCACAGAGATTATTCTTTTATTGAAGATTTAAGGAAGAAAGATATTCAAGTAATTTGTATTTATTAATATTTTTTTTAATTTTATTTTTAAGGAACTCCAAAATGCTTATAAACAATTAAAAAGAGAAGGAGGTAATCCTAAACAAATTGAAAGAATTAAAAGAAATTTGTTAAGATTGAGAAATCAACAAAAAGTTTTTTTTTAATTTTTAATAAATTAAAAAGTTTTTGTTTATAGGATTATCAAGACCAAAAATTAAAAGAAGATATACTTTCTGATTTACGTCGAACAAATATTGAACGGATGAATAATGGGGAGAGGCCTATTTATTTAAATAATAGTAAGTTTTATGTTTAAAGTCTTACATAAATTTCTAGTTTATATTTTGTAAAAATTGCTTCAGTCTTATAATTAACGAAGTATAGACTGATGTTTAGAGATAAAAATAAAATGATTTGCTATTAAATTATTATTTTTAAATTTAATTTCTCCCTCTTAACTCTTCAATTAATTTTCAATTTTAATTTATCTTTAATATTCCTTTTTTACAGATGAACTAAAAGGAAAATTTATTGAACGAAAAAAACAACAAAAACATAACAACGATCAAAGAATTCAAAAAACATCAAAAACCAACAAAAATATAAATGAAGAAGAAATTGAAGAGAAAGAAAAGAATTAATTGGTAAACAATAATTGTTTGTTAAATAAATTTATATTTAAAAAAATAAATTTTTTCTTTATTTCTTGTTTAAATATTTAAATTCTGGATAGAATTATACTATAAATATTTTCTTTTTCTTTAATTTTATTCAAAAATATTTTTTTATTTTCCACGTCGATTTATTGATGGTTCATTTTTCTACTTATTCATCTTTTTTCCTCCCATTTAGTGAGTTGGCAAAAATTGTTTTGAAAAAGTTTGAAAAATTATTTTTTTTAAAGAATTAAACAAAAATGGGACAATTTCTTGAAAGAATTGATTCTAAAGATGAAAAAAATGTAAATGAATCAACAGATGTTCCAATATGGGATTGTCTTTTATTAACTGCAAGAAATGAGAAACAACGAAATATATTCCTTCAACAACTTCAACATCTGCGCTTAAAAGAAAGAAATTTTTGTAAAGAATATGTTGTTTTGGCAGACAAACCGGAGGGGGTAAGAATAGGTGAATTATTTACGTAAATATTTGTTCTTGAATTTTGTGAGTGAGGAGGTTATTTTTGGTGGGTTAGATGTGTTCTTTAAGAATAGGGTTTGAGTTTTCGAATCAAGTAGACGTTCGAGACATTTTTGGGGCCCCATTTTTATCGAACCGGGCCGGATGAATTTTTTTCGGGCCAAAAATCGAAGCCCTATTCGATCTTCGAACCGGGTCGGGCCACTAATTCTATTTAAGAATACTTTTCGGGCTATTCTATACGTTTCATTTTAAACGAATTTCTCTCAATTTAAAATCTAGTTTTTTCATTTCAAAATTCTTTTAAATATTTTATTTTTTAAAAGGTTCTGGTGGTGCAACCCTTAATGCTCTTTTAATATTTGAAAAACTTTTTGGAAATAATTTTAAAAATGTTCGTTTATTATTATTGCATAGTGGTGGCCTTAGGTATTTATTAATTAATTAAAAGTATAAAATTAAAATTTTTTAGTCAAAGAATTCCTCATGTTGCATTAACTGGTAAAGCATTTATGTTAATGCCTGACGGAAAAACTTTATTTGAACATAAATTAATTGCTTATAGGTTTAAAAAATAAAAATATTTTTAAATTTTATTTTTTTAGAAAATTGTTAAATTCTTTTTCAAATTTTGGCGGTTTTTTGTTTATTACTTCAGCAGATGTTTTGGAATATTTCCCAAATGATTTCTGTATTTCAAATATTCCAAAAGAAATTTCTTTATTTTTGATAGCACATCAATCAAATTTAGATGTTGCTACACAACACGGAGTTTATGTTTTGAAAGAAAAAGGAGGTAAAAAAGGGAGGGGAAATTAATTTAAATTATTTTTTAAAAGAAGTTTATAATGTTTTGCAAAAACCAAGTATTGAACAATTAAAGAAAGTTTGTGGAGCTATTTTGGAACCAAATGAATTTAGTCCTTTTGAGACGGCATTGACTGATAGTTGCTATATTATTGGCCCGGAATTGATTGAAAATTTAATTAAAAATAGAAAAGAGAATGGTAAATTTTTAAATTAAAGTCTGGGTGATTTGAAATTGGGTAATTGAGATCTAAATTTGAGACATTCTTTGTTTTTCTGCAAATTCCCCAACTTTCGGGGTGGGTGACTAAAATATTTAGGAGAGTTTCATATCAAACCAAATTTTATAAATTCGACCCTTTTCGACAGTATACGATTTTTCAAATCTCTTCAGTTTTGATCAATACCTTTAATTCTCTCTAATTCATACTAAAATCTTATTTTAAAATATAATTCCTAAATAAATTTAATTTAATAATTAAATCTTAAAATCCTTTATTTTCCCTTTCTATAAATTTTTATTTAAAGGAGAAGTTATTTGTGAATTATGTTGTTATCGAGATTTTCTTTGTCCAATAGGATCTGCACCAAATGAAGAAAAAATGATTCATTTTATGAATAAAAATGTTGAATTATTTAAATGGCAACAAATTCTTTGGTTAGAACAAAAAAATTAATTAAAAAATTAATTTAAAGGAATATTTTTAATAAAATAAATCCACAAATTATCTCTTTGGGAATTAATTCATTCTTTCATTTTGGAACTGTTGGTGAATTACTTGAACATTTTTTTGATGAGAATAGTGCTTTTAAAAAGAAATTTTTGCCTAATATTGGAGAAATTGGAAATTTGGCTAATTGCATAATAGAAAAACCAGAAAATGTAATTAATTTAAATATTTATTTAAAAAATATTTGAAAAATTTAAAATAATTTTTCTCCTTCTCCGCAGCTTTTCTTTTTGCCTAATTTACAAAATAATTTTATTTCCATATTTCTATTTAAGAAAAATATTGACAAATTATAATTTTTTGTTTCATTTTACTTCTAAACTTAAAATCTTGTTTAATATAAATTAGAAGAAAATATTAATTTTGACTAAATTTTATTCTTTAGATTTCTCAAAAAAGTTTTCTTGAATGGTGTAGAATAAATTCAAATTGTACTATAGAAGATAATTGTATTTTAAGTGGTGTTGTTTATGAAGAACAGACTCCAATTTATGTAAAGTCTGGTATGTGTATTTGTACATTTCCAATTGGTGAAGAAGAAGAAGAGGAGGGAAATGGAGGTATACAAAAAATAAAAAATTTTATTTTCTTTTATTTTTTAGAATATGTTACGGTTATTTTTGATATAGAGGATGATTTAAAAAGAAAAACATCAAAAGAAGAAAATCTTAAATGGTTTGGACATTCTATTAAATCGTTAAAAGGAGAAGAGGAGGATAATTCTCTTTGGAACTGTCCACTTTTCTCTTTTTATCCAACAGCTTCCAAATCTTTTTTAAAAACAATTGAAAGAATAAATTTTGGATTAAAGTTTGTAAATTTATTTTTAATTAAAAAAATTGGAATTTTTAGTGATTCAACCCCTTTATTTTCCATTGCTCAGGTTTTAGAAAAAGCAAATGTTAATAAAATGTTAATGGAAAGAAAAAAATTGTTGGAAGAAAAATTTGTGTGATTAATCAATTTTTTGTAAAAAAAAATAATTTTATTTTATATTTACTGTGATACATATTTTTTATTTTAAGAAAAAAAATAAATTTTCTCGCCTGTCATTTAAAAAGATTGTTATCTCAAATTTTATTTATTGAATGGCTCTTTGGCCGAAATGTTGCGTTATTTTTTATATCTTAATTTTTATGAACAAAACTAAATTTATTGAGAGAAATATTTACAAATGTTTTTTATACTTCTTTATTGGAAAAAAGTAGCGAAAAATCCATATTTTTTTTGTTTTGTTTAACGTGAAAGACAATTTACTAAGGGAACATTAACTAAAATTTCAAAAGGAGTTACCAAAACTTAATAACTCCTTCTTTCCCCCGTGTTTATATATTATATTTAGTGAATTTTTTCAGATTTAAATCTCTATTAACGCTAATTATTATGTTGGAACATCAATGCAACCAAAATTTGGATCAACTCTTTACGGTATATCGAGTAAATCTTTTAAATCAGAAAACCTTTTATTTAGGCACTTCATGGTGTTAAATTGGCTATATTCGACCCTTTATTTTGTGAGCAAAAAATAAAATCGGAACTTCCATTTTTGGTTGCTAGAAATGCTGTCGCTTGGTCTTATGAAGAACAAAAGCAATTAGTTGATGAATTTATTAACAAGAAAGATAGAACATCTCCAATTCCGGAAAGGTAGATTTTTAGAAAATCATTTAAAATTTTTTAAAATAATTTCTTTCGGGAAGGAAAAATCTCATGGGGTTAGTTGGAAAGGTGTGAGATAGCAAAAATGATCTCCCCACAAACTCTTATTTTTCTGATACATACAAACTCAAAAAATTAAAAACTTTAATATTTAGACAACCAATTGATCTTAAAAACGAGAAAACTTCAAAAGAACGTCAAAAGCAAATAAAAGAAAATAAGAGAATCCAGACTGAAGCTAAAATACAGGCGATGATTGAAGAATTCAAAAAACTTAATTTGTGCTCTTAAAAAGTACCGGATATTGATGAGAAGAGGACCAATAATTTTACGAGTATTATTTTTCTTAAATTTAAATGTATAGACATGGCCTATATACTGTATTTATTCTGATAGACTGGCCGCCATTCTATTTTTCAATACCCCTAAAAAATGGCCATTCTGTTGGAGAGGCCATTCTATTAGAATAAATATGGTATCTAACATAAATAATTTATCACTTTCTCACATTAGCATGTATTCAAACAATTTTTTGTCATTTTGATAAAATACTTTACTTAAAAAATGAAAGAGAATGCAAAACTATAAAGATTTTCTGATTTTAAACTAATCTTTCAAAATATGTGAGTAGGTAGCCAACAATGGGTCGAAAATGGAACAACAATTGCATAGTGAAAGTACCACTTTTTATTTAGTATGGGGTAATAAATTTGCTGTTTCTACCCCTTACCAAAATTAACCTTTATAAATACCCAGCTCTGGATAGTCGTTTATTTGCAAAATAAATTAAATAAAACAAAAAAATTTTAAACTTTTGGACTGTTTTTAGACTTCTGATTATTATTTTCAACACTTTCTTTGTCCCCATTTAAGCACCGAGAGTTTTTGTTTTGAATTGTTGTATTAACCGATAATGACCTAATTTTCTCCAAAAATCGTTCCTCTTCTCTTTCAGAGTCCTAAAAATAAAAATTGGAGGTTATTTTAATTTTCAGTTGAATAAAACAAAAAAAGGAAGTTTTCCATAAAACAAATTTTTTCTTAAAACAATGATTTTTTAAATTTCCTAAAAAAGTGATTAGAAGAGATATCCATTCCCCACCCCTACATTTTAAAAAAATTAGAAAAAACCTCTTTTTCTTCCTCCTCCTCATCACTAGAAGATTCTTCTATATTATCTGTAACCTTCAATTCATTAATTCCTTTAACTAATTGTGCTTCAACATAAACATTATTTTTTAAAATTTCCTAAAAAATTTTTTTTATATTTTTCTAAATTCTCTAAAAACCTCCTTCTCCAAACATTTATTTATTTTCAAAAAATTTTTCCATTCATCCCCTTCGGGTAATTTAAATTCTTTTAATTTTGTTGACATTAAACGAAGAGAATTGATTTGTTGTTCTTCAGTATCTAATTGAATAGCTATAGCCCTTGAAAGACACATACAACGATCAGAACAAAATTTGTTTGGTTCGGCTTCGAGTGGTAAAAACTTTTAAAAAATTAATTTAAGGAAAATTATTAAAAAAAAATTTTTTTTAATTTTCACTCAATTATTTCCCCAAAATAATTTAAATAATTTTTTCAAAATATCATTTTCAAAAAAAACCTCTCTTCTCCCTTCCCGTTCCATCCAAACAAATTTTCGTCTAAAATCAATAGTTAAAGTATTCTCGCAAATAGGGTAACCACATATTTTCCCCAAAAAACGTTCTTCAATTACTTCTGCCCACGAATGTAAATCCAACACTTGCAACTTAAATATTTTTTGAAAGAATTATTTAAAAAATTATTTACATAATTAAACATTTCTTTTTCATTAACTGGTTTAATAAGTGCACATATTGCTTCATAAACAGTCCTTTTCCTTTTCTCAGCAAGTTTAATATTTTCTCGTTGTTCTTCTATTTGTTTTAATAATTTTGTTGAAGTTATTTTTATTGGTTTTGTTGAAGATTCTTGTTGGTTATTATTCATTTTTTAATAAAAATCTGAAAATAATTAAAAGAAATTTAGAAAATCGGAAAAATCTAAAAATAAAAAAAAAGTTGCCAATAAAATGACAAATCGTCCCATCGGACAAATTTTTAAATTTTTGAAATTGATAACACTCAAATCAGTATTTTTCGAGAAAATTAGGTACTTTTAAAGTCAATCTAACTACGTTAAAGAACTGTAAAACTAGAAAAACTTATGAGGACTAAGTAAAAGAAATTCAATTCAAAATTTTTAGAAAAATCCTTTTTTATGCTGTTTCTGCACAGTTATTTTGATGAATGTTCTTTGTTTGTTAATTAATGTTTATTTTCCTTTTAAGCTAAATACCCTCTTGTTGTAAGTAAAAGCTTTTAGATTTCATGAAGATACCATGGTAACGATACTACATAATTTAAATAGAGAATGGAATTGGGGGATTAAAAAATTACCCCAAATATGTGGAAGTAAACAAATAAATACACTTTTAATTAAAACAAATACTACATAGTCCCCTTTTAGTTATTTTTCATTGAAATTATCAAAAACAAAAAAACTTTCCAATGTACCACACAGCGTTGTTAAGAATTGGAAGAGAGGATGGGATTTCACCTCTCTTGTTAATTTAAAAGGCCAGTCTAAAAGGTTGCACTTAATATTTTTGCTCTTGCGAGACTAGACTGTTAGGAGAGAATAAAAATTCTTTGTAGTCAGTCAATGGGGATCGTCAGTTGTTCTTCCTCTTCTCAAATTTTCATTTTTTCCCTGTCGCGCTTTTTTCTATCCCCATCAAAAATGAATGAATTTTACTAAAAATTTATAATCCTCTTGTACATTTTGTAGAGAAAATATCAGCAACTTGTTATTCTCACTTGTTATTAACCCCATCATTCTAAAAGTTTTCACTTTTATTTATTCTCGATATACTCTTTTTACGTTAATCATGAATTTTGTAACGATTATGGAGAGGGGGGGGGGATATTCAAGACAAATTGTATAAATCCCAGTTTCTGAAAGTTTACATTTTGATTTTATTTTCCTACTTTTGATAGTTTTCATTTTTTGTTTCATAAGTAGACGTGGTTGCTTACCCCTTCCCTTCAATCTTTTTAAAGCAAGTGAATACGTTGATATGCAAACTTTGTTTAAACAATTATGTACATATATTTTTTCTTATTTCTCCTTCATAAATTCCTCTCTTTTTAATTTACGGAAATATTTTTAGACAATTAAAACGATTATTTTCTACAAACAAAGCAACCATGGCTGTTCCTCCCGATGTGGTCGAGAAAATTGAAGCTGGATACAAAAAGTTGCAGGTACTGTAAGGGCATTTGAGAGTAAATTCTTTTTCAATTTTTAGGAGGCGCCGGAGTGCAAGTCTCTTCTCAAGAAGTACTTCACTAAAGAAGTTATGGACCAATGTAAAGGGCTCAAAACTAAACTTGGCGCGAACTTGCTTGATGTAATCCAGTCTGGGGTTGCGAATCTTGATAGCGGTGTTGGTGTTTATGCGCCTGATGCTGAGTCCTACACTCTCTTCAAACCGCTTTTTGACCCGATTATTCAAGTTGCTCTTTAAGTTTTCTAGACATTTTACTTTTTTTCAGGACTATCACAATGGATTTGGACCTAACCAGAAGCAGCCCCAAACTGATTTGGGTGAAGGAAAGACTCAGCTTTTGCCTGACCTGGATCCTGAGGGTAAATTCATCAACTCGACTCGTGTTCGTTGTGGCCGTTCTCTTCAAGTTCTCGTATAAATATTTGAAAACTTATTTTTCTTTTGCAGGGATATCCATTCAATCCATGCTTAACCAAGGAAAACTATACAGAAATGCAGGACAAAGTTAAGGCTGTCTTTGACCAGCTTAAGTCTGGTGAGTTTCTTCAATTTATTTTTTCATTTATATTTAATATTCAGATCCCGAGCTTGGTGGGACCTATTATCCTTTGGAGGGGATGACCAAAGAAGTTCAAACCCAGTTGATCAAGGATCATTTCCTGTTCAAAGAAGGAGATCGCTTTTTGCAAGCCGCGAATGCTTGTCGTTACTGGCCAACGGGACGTGGTATTTACCATAATGACAAGAAGGCTAATCTAACAAAATTTTTATTTAATTTTACTTAAATTTTTTAGACTTTCCTTGTTTGGGTGAATGAGGAGGATCATCTCCGAATTATTTCTATGCAAAATGGAGGCAATGTTGGGCAAGTGCTTGAGCGATTGATCAAAGGAGTTAAGGCGATTGAGACAAAAGTCCCGTTCTCTCGTGATGATCGTCTTGGGTGGCTTACTTTTTGCCCTTCTAACTTGGTTTGCTTTGAATCTGCTGTAGCATTTTGATTTGCCTTTAAGGGAACAACTGTTCGTGCCTCCGTACATATCAAATTGCCGAAGATTAGCGCTAAACCAGATTTCAAAAAGTTTTAAATTTTCAAGAGAAATATTTGAACTGTTTTTTAAGGATCTGTGATGAGATGAAGTTGCAAATTCGGGGTATTCACGGTGAGCATTCGGAGACTGAGGGTGGCGTCTACGACATCTCTAACAAAGCTCGCCTTGGGCTTACCGAATTTGAGGGTAAATTAATTTATAAAATGATTATAGTTTATCTGAAATATAATCAAAATATGTTTACTTTCTTAAAATTTTAAAGAATTTATTTTTTCATTTTCAGCTGTCAAGCAGATGTACGACGGTGTGAAGAAGTTGATTGAACTTGAGAAAGCTGCCTAAATGTGAGGGTGATTATAGGAAGAAAATTAATTTTATAGGGGACAAAATTTTTAAATAAAAATGGATACTTAAAATTATAGAAAAGATACTCTTTTGAATATTATTTTGGATATTATTTGTGTTTTTGTCGGTATTTGCGAGTAAATTGTAAATTAAATTTTAAAAATTTTATTGAATAACTTATCCTTTTTTGAATTTTGAACTTTCCAAAAGGCAAAATAGAATTTGTGAAATTTAAATAAAATTCTACCATTTCTGTGCCCTTTTATTTTTAACATTAAAAATAAATTTATTTAGGCGTTGATTCACTCAAATTTTAGCATTTTACATTGACATTTTCTTAAATACAAATATTAATTCCCTCCCATATTTTGTCTTTCTTATTCACAACATTTATTATTTTAAATTTCTTTCAATTTAAGGTTTAGTTAAAATTTATTTGAGAAGTTTGATAAAAAATTAATTTTAATTTTTAGTTAATATTAATTTTCTTTAATTTCTCTTAAGAAAATGTCGTCACAATCAAATATTTTAAATCCACTTTCTGCTGCTCGTCGTGAAAAATTTAAATGTTCATTTTTCTGCTTTAGAACATCTGTTGAAGTATTTTAAAATTAATTAAAAATTTTACAAAAATAAATTTTTAATTAAAAGGATGCAACATTCTTTATATCCGTTTTTTGTATTTTATCTTCAATTTTAATTTTTGTTCTCCATTCAAAATCGAGTCAATTTTTAAATGATGAAATGTTTACAGATAAAGTATTCCTTACAACAACATTTTTTGTAATTATAAATGTTTTTGTAATTATTGCTTTGTTTGCAAGAATTGCTGCTTTCCTTTGGCCTTTTATTATTATTCAAGTAAAAAAAAGAAATTTAAATTTCAAAAAAATTTTTGGAAGAAAATTAGGTGTATAGGTATACCTTTACAGAGGATAAAATATAATAAAATTATGCCCCACTAAATAATATACCCTATTTAAATTAATTTGTTTGGGTTAAATTAAAAATTTAAATTCTGTTTTAGAACATTAAAAAACTATTAGTGTTTTTAGGCAATTGGAATACTTATTAACAGCAATTTTCTTTTTATTATGTCAATGACTGTTTTCGAAACATTTTTGAATACTTTAAAGGGATATTCTTGTAAATATTTATTTTTATTTCTAAATTAATTTAAATTATTTTCAGTTAAAATTTCAATAGATCAACAATATCGATTTGAAAAATTAAATGGATTTGTAGTTTTGGGGCTAATATTTTTATTTCAACTGAAGATTTTTTCGATTATTTGGGGTTCCTACAATGCAATAAAATTTGAGCAAATAACAAAAAAATTGGCTGAAGAATTAGAGAATATTAAAATTGAGGAGAATAACAAGAAAATATCTACTTTAAATACATCCAAAATAGTTAATGATGAAAAATTTATTATTCCTTGAAAAATTAAAGAATGAGGAAAATAATTTTAAATTAACCAAATCTAAATTTTTAAATACAAATAATCCAAAAATATTAAAATTTTTATTGAATTTGTAATATTAAAAGCTCTAATAATAATTATTCAAATAAAAATGTCGCTACTTTATAAATACTTTAATATATGAGGAAACCATAAGGATGTAAGCTTAAAAATTTTTTTATTAAAAGCAATCTTGCACTTTAAATTATACAAACAAATTTCACTGAAATAGATTGCCGTTATTATCCGTTATTCTAATAAAATCATAAAAACAAAAATTTATTTTAAAATAAAATTTTCTACAAATTTAGGTATTCTAAAAAATTAAAGTGGCATGAAAGAATAATATAAAATGCGGCACAGATCCAAAGACTGACTAGATCGAGGATCAATTAAAAAAATTTATTCCCAATAATCAGTTCGAGTTTTGGTATAATATTGAAGTAATAATTTCAGTTAAAGCAGGATTTATTAGAAAAATAGAAAAACTTATGTAGAAATTTCATCTTTTTTCAAATTCTCGAACTGATTTTAAATATTAATCTTTAAACAAATTATAGTATGTACTCTTCCGTAAACTTAAAGCATTAAATTTTTAATCATTATTATTTGCATTTCCCAATAATTGCCTTTTAACAAGTTTATTATAAAGACCTTCAGGTTGTTCCATTAATTCAGAATGAGAACCCATCTAAAAAATATAAAACAAAATTAAATTCACTTTTTCTATCACCAACTAACCTGAACAATATTTCCTTCATCCAAAACAATAATTCTATCAGCTCTTTCAACAGTAGAGAGGCGATGAGCAATTAAAATAACTGTTCTACCTTTTTTACATAACATTATAGATTCTTGAATAACATGTTCACTTTCAGAATCTAAAGCTGAAGTTGCTTCATCCAAAATTAAAACAACAGGGTTTCGAACAAGCGCCCTAGCAATTGCTATTCTTTGTTTTTGACCACCTTTATAATTTTTAAATTCTTCAAAGTTTTCAAAAAAATATTTTTACCACTCATTTGAACACCATTTTCTCCACATTTTGTTTCATATCCAAATTCACTATTAATTACAAAATTATGAATATTAGCTAATTTTGCAGCCTTCATCACATCATCTAATGTATATTCATTTTCTTCACATCCATATAAAATATTTTCACGAACAGAACAAGCATAAAGAGTTGGCTCTTGAGAAACTAGCGAAACCTAAAACAAAAACTTTTTAAATTAAAAAAAGTTATCCTTACAATTTTATGAAAATATCTATGTTCATATTGTTCGATTGGATAATCATCTAAAAGAATTTGACCAAGAAGTGGTTCATAAAAATGTTCCAGTAGAGCGATTATACTTGATTTACCAGCACCGCTTGGTCCTACCAAAGCAACAACTTCACCGGGAAGAATTGAAAAAGAAAGATCCTTAAATAATCAAGTTAACAACGAGATAACAAAAGATTTTCAAATAGAAATAACCTTTAAAACGTGAGTATTTGGTCGTGTAGGATATGAGAAACCGACTTGACAAAATTCAATTTTTCCAAGAACCTTAAATTCTTTTTAACAAAAACTTTAAAAAACAAAAAAACCTTTTCTGGCATTAATTCTCCTTTGTCTAATTTTATTTTTGGTTCTCTTTTTATATATTCAAAAACTTTACGCGAAGCTCCAACACATTCCATTAAACTAGTCCCAACACTGTTCAACATATAAAAATTCTCTCCAAGTTGTAATTGATATAACATAAATGCAAGCCTAGAAATTAAAATACAAAATTAAAAATTATTTGAGGAAAAGCAGGAAGCAATTTACAAAGGAAGTATTTAAAAAGAAAAAAAATTAGTTAAAGCTAAATTCAAAATACATTTGATCAGCAGTCATTCGTCCAGAAAGAACCAAATGCCCGCCATAAGAGAGAATAGCTACAAGAATACAATTATTTGCAAATTCATTAACCCATTGGAATCCAGCCAATGCCATAGATTTTTTCTAAAATTTATTTCTGCTAAAAGGAAATTAAAATTTAAACCTTATTAATTTCAAGCGTTCGAAATAAGTGCCATCCAAAACGATCTTTCTCTTTTTGTTCAGAAGCAAATGCACGGATATTTCGCATGCAGCCAATAACCTCTTCAGCAACACGATTTGCATCAGATTTTGTTTTTTGTGTTTTTTCACTTAAACTCTAAAAGGAAATAACTAAATAAATTAAAGAAATGCCAGTAATCAGAAAAACTTTGTTTTACTTTTTTGTTTTAAGAAAAGGATTGTTTAATTATTTAATTAAAACTAACATCATAATAAGAACTGTAAAGTTTTGTAAAAAATGTGATTGGAGGAATGACAATAACAGTTAAAAGAGTTAAACGCCAACTCATTCCCATCATAAAAACAACTGATCCAATAACCATCAAACCATTCCTTAGCAAAATATTCACATTTGTAGATATTGTTGCTGACATTGTCTTTAAAATTAAATTGAAAGAAAAAAAATATTTAAAGATTAAATTTACCTCACAATCTGAAATTAAACGAGAAAGTATTTCGCCTGTCTGTGCTTGATCAAAAAAAGCAATTTCTTGAGAAATAATTGAACTAAATAAATCTCTTCTCATTAAAAGATTAATTTGTGCAGTAGTGTAATTAAGAGTCCCAGCACGAAGACCACCAAAAAGGGTTACAATCTAAAAATTAAATTTAATGAAGAAACAAATAAAAAGTAAAAAATATACCAAAAGAAGCAAAGACATAAATAAAACAGATTCGAAAAATTGATAAACATCCCTTGTATGAACAATACCCGAAATAACTTGAGCAGTGTAAAGAGGTACAAAAACCCTAGCTGAAAAAAGTATTTTTGAAAAAAAATCGAAAAAGAAGTTCATACCAGAGGCATAAATAACCAAAAATAGAAATCCAACAAGTAGCCAATTCCAAACATATAAACAATAACTAAGCAAGTAACGAATATGTTCCCAGGTAGAAACACGAAGAGGTAAAAGGTTAGAGCTTTGTTGATGCCCATTTAAAGAAGAAAAATTTGAGGAAGTACCACCATTATTTATATTTAAATTATCAGAATTATTGAGCAATGGATGATAAGGCGAAGTTGGATCCAAATTTGAATAACGAGAAAGACTGAAAAAAAATTAAATTTAAATTAAAAGGACTGTAAAATTTAAAATATTTACCAAAGTTTCCGAAACAAACAAAATTCGTATAAAGCATGGACACAAATAAATGAAACAATATTCCAAATAATACTTATCCAAACACCAAGAAAATGCAATTGCTTTTCAAACTCAGAAAAAGCAAGTAATTTGATGAGAGAAAATGAAAAGTTGCAGATTTGGAGTCCAATTAGAAAAAAATTTAAAAATTTTGGAAATATTTCTTCTGAATTGTCTCTCTGAAGAGTAGGAGAGCGAAAGTATATAACCGGAACAAAAAATAGAAGAAGAGATCTAAGCAGGAGTAAAGGTAAAAAATCGAATGGCGAAGAGATGAAAGAATATCCATCTAAATAATTTAAGGGAAAATTTTGTAATGGATATGTACATTAATTTAAAATTAGAAATTAAAATACCTACCTTTTAACGATATATAGTCCCATATTCGAAATATATTTAGATTGGAGAAAGGGCGATGATCATCATAAAATCCAAGTGATAAAACTGTCACGGATAAATCAAAAATAAACAAAGAAAAGCAAAGTAAAACAACACACAGAAGTCGGCTGCAGAAAGGAGTTAAATTTAGAAAAGTTGGCATTACATTTGTTAAGCAAATCTCTGTATCTAAATTTTTTGTAAAAATGAGTTTAAAAAATGAAACAAGTATGGGGGGAGGAGGGCGTTCTTAACGTTGGCGACTAAGTGACGCGAGCTTAAAGACCTCGCGATTACATGATCCTCAACTAACAAAACCCGCAATTGTTATATTCGCAATTGTCGCATCCGCAATTGTCGTACACCAACTTTAACGGGTACGGCCCACTATGGCGCGGGACACTATGGCGCTTGCGCCATAGTGTCCGTGTCACAACTTTAACAACACACCCTATCTAGTCGCAAGAATTGCAGCTACACAACCCATTCATTCGTAAAGAATGCTTATGTGTTGAATCCGCAAGAGGCGCATGTCGCAAATTGCACAGTAGGGTTCTGACTTTGCGAAGGGCCGTCCTTTATTGATGTAACAATAAATATTTAAGTGGTTCCAATAGATTAGGTAACTAGTTTATGTAGGCACGAACGACATTACTTTTGTTTGACTATTTTAAATTAAAGTTTTATAGTTTGATTATCAAAAAGATTACTACTGAATCATATGAAATCTCTGTCTTTGTCTAAGAAGCGAAAGCTCTCTTCTTCTAGTGATAGTTCTGATGACGATGACATTCCAGTCAAGGATACGAAGACCATTTTGAAACCACCAGCCAAGAAGCCTGTAAAGGTTATTCTCTTTATTAGTTTTTTATCTTAATTTATAGAATAAGGGTTCATCTTCTGAGGATAGCTCTGATGATATTTCGGCTTCCAAAAAATCCACGGCCAAGGTTACTGCGGTTACTGCAAAGAATGTTGGAAACAAATTGTCTGGGACTAACAAAAGGAATCATCAACCCTCTTCTTCTGAAGATAGTTCTGATGACGATATTCCAGTAAAGAATACGAAGACCGTTTTAAAACCACCAACCAAGAAGCCGTTAAAGGTTTCATCCATTATCTTGTTTTTTTTATTTTAATTTATAGAATAAGGGTTCATCTTCCGAGGATAGCTCTGATGATGTTTTGGTATCTAATAAATCCGTGGATTCAAAAACGGCTGGAAACAATCTGTCAGGGACTAATGATAAGAATCGTAAATCCTCTTCTGAAGACAGTTCTGAAGATGAGGATATTCCAGTCAAGGATACGAAGACTATTATGAAGGCACAAGCCAAAACTCTTTCGTTAAAGGTTTTTAACTTTGCTTTTTATGTCTTATTGTAATTTATAGAATAATGATTCATCTTCCGAGGAAAGTTCTGATAATGTTTCGGCGTCTAAGAATTCTGCTGCCAATGGTACTTTAAAGTCTATTGGGAACAATTTGCCTGCGACTAACATTAAGAATCGAGAACCCTCTTCTTCTGAAGGCAGTTCTGATGATGAGGATATTCCAGTCAAGGATACGAATACCATTTTAAAACCACCAACCAAGAAGCTTTTAAAGGTTTATCTATATTTAGTTTTTTATTTTAATTTATAGAATAAGGATTCATCCTCGGAGGACAGCTCTGCTGATATTTTGGCTCCTAAAAAATCCACAGCAAAAATTACTGCGGATACTTCAAAGACTGTTGGAAGCCATTTGTCTGGGACTAACATCAAGAAACGAAAACCCTCTTCTTCTGAAGATAGTTCTGATGACGATATCCCAGTAAAGGATACGAAGACTATTTTAAAACCACCAACCAAAAAGCCGTTAAAGGTTTAATTCATTATCTTGTTTTTTTATTTTAATTTAAGAATAAGGGTTCATCTTCCGAGGATAGTTCTGATGATGTTCCGGCGTCTAAAAATTCCATGGCCAAGGTTATTACAAAAACGGTTGGAAACAATTTGCCTGCGACTAACATTAGGAATCGAAAATCCTCTTCCGAAGACAGTTCTGATGATGAGGATATTCCATTCAAGGATACGAAGACTATTATGAAGCCACAAACCAAAACTCTTTCTTCTAAGGTTTCATTCCTTTGATTTTTTTGTTTTATTGTAATTTATAGAATAAGGGTTCATCCTCCGAGGACAGCTCTGATGATGTTTTGGTGTCTAAAAAATCTGCTGCCAATGTTACTTCAAAGTCTATTGGGAACAATTTGCTTACGACTAACATTAAGAATCGAGAACCCTCTTCTTCTGAAGGCAGTTCTGATGATGAGGATATTCCAGTCAATGATACGAAGGCCATTTTAAAACCACCAACCAAGAAGCTTTTAAAGGTTTATCTATATTTAGTTTTTTATTTTAATTTATAGAATAAGGAAACATCCTCGGAGGACAGCTCTGCTGATATTTTGGCTCCTAAAAAATCCATGGCCAAAATTACTGCGGATATTTCAAAGACTGTTGGAAGCAAGTTGTCTGGGACTAACATTAAGAATCGAAAATCCTCTTCTTCTGAAGATAGTTCTGATGACGATATTCCAGTAAAGGATACGAAGACTATTTTAAAACCACCAACCAAAAAGCCGTTAAAGGTTTAATTCATTATCTTGTTTTTTTATTTTAATTTAAGAATAAGGGTTCATCTTCCGAGGATAGCTCTGATGATGTTCCGGCGTCTAAAAATTCCATGGCCAAGGTTATTTCAAAAACGGTTGGAAACAATTTGCCTGCGACTAACATTAGGAATCGAAAATCCTCTTCCGAAGACAGTTCTGATGATGAGGATATTCCAGTCAAGGATACGAAGACTATTATGAAGCCACAAACCAAAACTCTTTCTTCTAAGGTTTCATTCCTTTGATTTTTTTGTTTTATTGTAATTTATAGAATAAGGGTTCATCCTCCGAGGACAGCTCTGATGATGTTTTGGTGTCTAAAAAATCTGCTGCCAATGTTAATTCAAAGTCTATTGGGAAGAATTTGCTTACGACTAACATTAAGAATCGAGAACCCTCTTCTTCTGAAGGCAGTTCTGATGATGAGGATATTCCAGTCAAGGATACGAAGGCCATTTTAAAACCACCAACCAAGAAGCTTTTAAAGGTTTATCTATATTTAGTTTTTTATTTTAATTTATAGAATAAGGGTTCATCTTCTGAGGATAGCTCTGATGATATTTCGGCTTCCAAAAAATCCACGGCCAAGGTTACTGCGGTTACTGCAAAGAATGTTGGAAACAAATTGTCTGGGACTAACAAAAGGAATCATCAACCCTCTTCTTCTGGAGATAGTTCTGATGACGATATTCCAGTAAAGGATACGAAGACCGTTTTAAAACCACCAACTAAGAAGCCGTTAAAGGTTTCATCCATTATCTTGTTTTTTATTTTAATTTAAGAATAAGGGTTCATCTTCCGAGGATAGCTCTGATGATGTTCCGGCGTCTAAAAATTCCATGGCCTCAAAAACGTTTGGAAACAATTTGTCAGGAACTAATAATAAGAATCGAAAATCCTCTTCTTCTGAAGACAGTTCTGATGATGAGGATATTCCAGTCAAGGATACGAAGACTATTATGAAGGCACAAGCCAAAACTCTTTCGTTAAAGGTTTTATAACTTTGCTTTTTATGTCTTATTATAATTTATAGAATAATGATTTATCTTTCGAGGAAAGTTCTGGTGAAGTTTTAGCGTCTAAAAATACTATGTCCAATGGTACTTCAAAGTCTGCTGTGAACAATTCGTCTAGAACTACGAATTCCTCTTTTACTTCAAATTCTTGGGGTGCTAAAGCTGCAAAAGATTTCAAAAATTTGAGCGGTAAGAATTTTCGACATGAGAAGACGAAAAAGAAACGTGGAAGCTATTCTGGTGGTAAGATTGACACTTCGATTAATTCTATTAAATTTGATGATTGATGTGAGCATTTTGGTTGTTTTTGTTAATATATATCTACTGTTGTTTTTTAAATATCTATTTTAGAATAATAAATGTTACTATATTCTTATAAATACCTTAATTGTTTTTTCAATATTTATTTTTATTCCTGAACTGTGTATTTTTTTAATTTTTTAGCTTATTTTTCAAATTACTTTTATTTCAATGACTGAGAATATATCTGTTGATTCTTCGGTTAATGGCACGCCATCAATTAAGAAACATCAGGCATTTTTAAACTGTCAAAAAATGATTAACCGTTATGTTATCACTCTTGGCCTTACACAAACAAAGGTAAACTGTTTTCGATTTAGTTTTATAAGGTTTTCCCAGGTTTTCGTATACTGCCCTATGCCTCCTTCCCCATCCCGATTAACGGCTTGTCTGGAATACTGATTTTTCCAGACAATTTTATTTAGCTTCGTTTTTAATTGAATGAAATTTTAGATTTTTGAAAAATGCTGTGCTTCACCCGACGCTGAAAATTTCGTGAAGGACGACTTTTTCAATTTAAACAGAATTGATGAACATTGTTCCTTGTGTGTTAATTTTGCAAAATCATGTGAAAGGTGCTCCACTAGTCTCGAGGTTTGATTTATTAACCTCTGATGGATTGCTTATTTTTTTGTTAAGCAATTTAAAATATTGTATAATACATTTTCACATAACCATTATTTCAATAATTTTATTAAATAAACAGGAATTGATCAAAGCTTGGGTAGATCTGATTCAAAGTTTACGGCAGAATTATAATCCTATAACTCGCGAAGCAATTCAAGCAGGCCGTTTTCTCGTTCACTTCATTATTGGTTTTTGTTTACTCGAAGCAAAAGTTTTGTTTATTTTTTATTGTTTATTAAAACTTTATTTTAGTATTATGAGGCTATTTATTGTGCATGGGAACATTTAAAGTTTTGTAATTTTGAGGATGTAACTTGTAGGTTAGTGTGCTTCATGTTTTCTTATCGTTTGGAGGACTGGCAACTACTTGGAATTTTCTTAGAGAAAGAAAAACCAAATATACGGAAGGCTCCATTTACTGCTGGATATTTACTTATTTTGGAATGTTTTGACCTTGTCTATCGCTTTCATACAGAAACGAATGCAGACAAACAGGTGTGTTTATATCAAACTAAAAATTAAACGTTCTTTTGGATAGATACTTATAGCCGATGAAGTACTCGCTAAGCTTGCTGAAGTTTGTAAAGATGATAGGAGAACTTTTCTTTACACTCAATCAAAATCAATTCTTCGCTCTGTCCTCGTTCTTTCTAGTCGATTACCAAATTCTGATATAAAAAAGGTTTATATTTTAAATATATGTTTGTTATTATAATACAAAATAGTATAATGATCCAATTTATCAACGCGAAATGGAAGTATCGCATGCCTCACTCATATTGCGTACTTATGATTCTGATTATTTTAGAGGGAACTTTTCACCGATTCAAAACAAAATGAAATCACCTGAAGGATTTTGTATGTTTCTGAAAATTTTTTAACGCTATGTTAACTTTTTACATTCAGTAAAATTTTGTATGGCATTTGTCGACTACATGGAAATCAGCATTAGTTACTGTTGGGATTGCTGGGATGTTGGTTTACTTCGAGAAGCTGAGAGTTCTTCTATTGCTTTGTGGCGAAACAATTTAATTTTCGGAAACGCTTATTGGTGATCTTTTTAAATTTTTACTTTCCCCATTTTCATGTTTATAGGACTCTTCGTTCTTTATCTTTTCTCTTCTTTTTAAAATCTTCAATTGCTTATGATTCTCATGTGTTGGACAAACTAGCTCAATGTCTTCAAGCATTACTTACTCCAGCGACTTCCTCATTTAATCATTATTTGTCAACTCCCAAACGAAATATCAGGTAAATCTTTTTAAATTCCATTTATTCTATCCTAAATGGATTTTAGACCTTCAGTCTTTCGTAGAGGTTCTGCTGTTGATGACTCATTTGATCTGGAAACTAATGCATCTGATAATAATTTTGATGATGATCTACTTACTCAAGAGTTATCTTCAATGAATATTCATAAAGGAGCAAATAAAGATAGGTTAAGTTTTAATTTATCTTTTAAATACTTTTCATGTTGACGGTCAGTAAATACAAAGTGATTCTATATTTGAAGTGACTTTTAATCAAATATTTTTTAAAGGAAGCATTTTAATTTGGAAACACATGTTTCTGATTGCTTTTGTGTTTTCTGTGTTAGTCGAGTATCAAACTGGGCAATGGCATTGGAATTGGATCGTCTAACATTATTGTTCCGGCGTAATACTCCAACACAATTTCAACTTTTCAAGGATACATTATACAACAACTACATTCATAAAGTAATTTTAAAAAATTAAAATTATTGTAATTTTTGTAGGTTCAATCACTGCGTCAAATTTTGCTAACAAGTCTTAATGAAAATTCAAACCAGTCAACTAATCCGTTTAAAATGCCGAGAGATTTTGGTATGTTTTGTTAGAATACTAACTGCGCTACAAAACTTTCTAACAATTTCTAACATAATATTTCCTAAATATAAATATAATGCAATATAAATTTGATTTTTTTCAGCAACAAAATGTGTCATTGAAGATAACCCTTTTGTAACACCAAAAAGGCGAGGAAGAACACCAACAAGAACTTGCACAGATATAAAGGTTTTCCCAGTTAACTTTATAATATATCTTACAATATTTTCAGAAGGAAAAGGAAAATCATTCCGTACAAAGGTCGGTGAATAGTGCTCACAAGCGCAAAGAAGTCAAAACACCCGTTTTGAATGGAATTATAAACTTTGATCAAACGGAGGATTCATTACCAGTTATAAAACCAAATGATAATGAAGTAAATATAATTTAAATATAATTTTAAACCTTATTTACAAATTTAATTAATTTTAAGCATATTCCACCTTTAATAATTAATTATTTGTTTCGAGCAATTTGTCAGAGTTTTGTGGAGAGATCAGAAGAAATGCTTTGGGAAAGAAATGTTTTGGAGGACAAGAATATTTTGGATGAAGCAATGAATGTTTGTCTTTTTTTATTGCTAATTTAGAAAAAACTAGCAAAATAATCTGAAATTGTTATCAGATATTTTTTTACATATTTTCAGCTTTTCAAACAGTCAAGTTGCAAAATAACAAATCGTGCAATTTGGCTTTTGCTTAGGCATTTTACTCGTGTTCAATTAAATGGTGATAAGTTTTTATCTACGAATTGTAGCCCAACCAAGATTAATGCAGCTCGCAACGATCTCATTGATTATGGAAATTTATTTTTCAGGTTAATATTTTTTTTAAATTTCTATTATCAATTATATTCAGGGAATGGCGTCAGAGATGTGCACATTTTTTAATTAGAAATTGTTATTCAAGATTTATGAGAGCTTATGCCTATAACAATATGCCACATGAATATCCTTGGACAATGGCCTTTTATCATGTTGAATCTATGGCTCCGTCAATGCGCCAATTGGCAAGAACACTTTTACTTCGCAAAAAGACGCATAAAATTAAATCAAATAAAGACAATCAACAACAAGAAGTTCTTGATTCGAATGATCCTGCTCCCACACACAATTTTACTTTTAGAGATACTGATCACTTCAAAAGTTTGATTGAACGATTACCTCCAGGTATTAAAATAAATGTTTTGTAATTTCCTTCAAATTCCAATTTACCTTAGAAATTACGTTTGTGAATATTTCACTTGATGAAGAAAATGTTTTATGGATGACACGTTGTCACGCATCAGTTGAACCTGTTATTATTCGACTTAGTAAACTAGAAAGGGTTATTTTCTTATATAAAAAGCTGATTAGTATATTTTAATTTTTAGGATGATCCTATGCTTGCAAAAATGTCAGAAATTTTAGAATCTAGTGATTTATCTGTTAGAAAATCTATGAATATACCTCAGGAGTCTGATGAAAAAAATGAGAACGGGGAAGGTAAAATGCTTGACAATGAGATTGAAAGAGATAAAGAACATTTACATATTAAACTTCCTGAAAAGAAGTCAAATGAACAAGATTTACAAAAAGCTAAAGCATTTTGGGGTGAGAGGAAAAGGCTTGATGAGCAATTAAAAGTGGGCTTATTTTTTTATTTTTTAAATGAAAAATTTAAAGGTGTTTATTGGAGATTTGCAACATAAATGGCTTGGTGCTGCTGCCCCGCTTCTTTTACCTCCAGCAGTTGTTCTTGAAGATAACGAAAGAGTTGTTACAAGATTAATGGGCCTTGGAGTTTTTTCTATCCCAACTTTAACGGTGATTTTTAATGATCTTTCTTTTAATCTCTTTATTTCTAGCTTCTTCTTCAACTTTATCACCATATAAGCGAAAATGAGTGGATCCGATTGTCTAAACTTTTAAGAGATAACGAAACACAAAGTAATCGTGACATTGCACCCACTACAATGTCACGTATCGCTCAAATTATAAAACAAGGAAGTATAAAATCATCAAGGAAGTGTTATACATTACTTGTTGTGCCTCCTCAATTAAGTCATCTTCCGTGGGAGTGTTTGCCAATTTTTGAACGAAGTCCTTATGTTATGCGTCTTCCTTCATTTCATATCTTTGAATATCTTTGTACCTTAGAACAAGTAATTTTGATTTCCTTTTAAATTTAAATATTTGAAAAATAAGGAGATAAAAGAATTACCTAAAATGGTTAATGGCAGAAAATCTTTTTATATTCTTAATCCATCTGGAGATTTATCTAACACTCAAAAAAGAATTACTGATTTTGTCGGACAATTTAATTGGCCCGGTCTTGTTGGTGAAGTACCGACACGTGAGTTATTTTAATAATTTTTCTTATTTTTTTATAGATATTTTGCTTTATGCTAATTTTAGTAATAATTTCTAAAAATTATTAATATAGGTGATCAAATTCGATTGGCGCTGACTGAGAGCGAACTTTTCTTGTTAGTTTTTGTATTTTTATTTCAAAATAAATTTTAATTTTTAATAGATATATTGGCCATGGAAGTGGTGGTCGTTACTGGCGCTCCACAGTTCGTGAAACTGATTGTAATGCTGTTTCTATACTTATGGGTTGTTCTAGTATTAAAATTTATGATGAAGGACCAGGATTTGATGGTCGATCTTCACTTTATGAATATTTAATTGCTCGTTGTCCTTGTGTTGTTGGGTGCCTTTGGATGGTGACTGATGGAGAAATTGATAGTTTGTGAAAAAAAATTACAGAATTTAATTTGTCATTTTTTAGGATTTTTTATGGCATTAATGGAATATTGTTTTATGGAATCTTCTCCAAAAAATGATTCAAAATCAAAAAATAAAAAAATTAACTCGAAAAGGTTTAATTTTTAATATTTAATTATTTTATTTATTTTAGTCAACACAATGCTATACAACGAACTCAAAATAACATCAAAACAGAATCAATTAAATTATTTACTGAAGCAATAGTTAAAGCAAGACTTTCATGTAAATTACCATATCTGACAGGTGCATCTGTTGTTGCTTATGGATTACCTGTTGCCGCTGCAATGGATGCTTTATTAAAATTGAATGTTTAGCTTATAAAAATTTAAAAACAGTCCAGTACTTTTTTTCTCTAATCATTCTTTTATTTAAAGCTGATTCATTTTTTTCCATTTTAAATTTGATTTAATTACTTATTTTTTGGTTTATTTTTCAAAAATCTTTATCTCATTGCCAATAATTTATTTCTTTTTTTTTCAAAATTATTTTAAATTACCAAAAATCATTCAAAAATGACATGTATCTAGGGAACGACATATCAACGTTTTCTTAAGAAAAAAAAGTTGATTTAATAATATCAACAATTATTCGCGAACAACTTTTTTTTAAATACATAACGCCAGAACAACGTTAATATCAACGTTTTGCGCCAAACAACTGCGAATCAACGTTTTTGTATCTTTTTTTCTCTGCTCTGCCATTATATTTCTCTTCTTTTTTTCTGTTAATTTTCGTTCGTGTAGTCTCTCCTTTGGAATTTAAAAGAATTTTACGAGTAGGAATTTTTTTATTAAAATTGAAAAAATATATAAAACAACAAAATTTTATCCATCTTTAAATAATGATTGTAATGAAGTGGAATTTTGTTTGAAGTTTCTTTCCAAAATTTTAGCAAATCTAGCTTATGTCCTCCCAAATTCTTACATCCAGTTTCATACTGTTCCATCTCAAAATCTAGTCCTTTCTCGGCCAAATCATCGTTTTTAATTTCTGTTTGTAACTTTTTGAATAATCACGACGAAGTTTTGGTTTACAAATAATTTGTACATCCCATGCAGCCTTGAAAAAAATATTACTTATACTTTTTAATTTAAATACTAGGGTTGTTGGCAACCGATTATCAACCGGTATCCCCGGTTTTCGGTTTTTAAAATTTTCTAAAAACGGTTAATTTTTGGCAAAAAATTTAAAAAATTCCGGTTTTAAAACCGGTCGCCAACGACCCAATTAAATACCTTAAAAAATTCTTCATGAAATACAGACCTGAGTAATTTAGTACTTCGACATTCTCTTGTTCTCTCAAGAATCCAATCAAACCATACTTGTAAATCATATTCAGAATCCACTTTTGGCTAAAGCTGCTCTGACTAAATCATCTCCTCTTACTTCTCCTCTCCAAGCATTTTCCAATTTGATCATTTCTATCATTAATCTGTTCATTGTACATTTATTTTCGGCCTAAAATTTAAATTTTCTAAATTTCAATATTATTTTTTACCTCAAGTATTTTCAAAGGTGCTTCCAACATTGAAACAGTTTGAATATAAGCTTCAAAAAGATTTTGCTTGGAAAAAATTCGTTCCATTCTCTCTGTGTGATTTCCAGAATATTTGTTAACAATTTCTTTAAACGATTCTTTATCTTACATTAGATCCCTCATCAGTAATAAAAACGATTTTTGACATGTCAAGCCCAAGATAGGTAAGATTTTTGTTGACTAAATCAGATATATTTTTTCTGATTTTGGAAATGTCTCCAGGAATTGGAAGACACGAAAGTACAAACATTCATTCCATGATCGCCTACTCTTCGGACTTCCTAGATTAATCCCTTAAGGAAATCGGATTTTCGACGTTTCGATGACGGTGTCACAGGTTCTTCGAGATCGCCGCTTTCGAATGCGACTCTTAATTCATTTTCAAATTCATCCATCTAGTAAGAATATATGTGGAAAAATCCCTAAAAATTACAGAAAAAAGACTGAACATTTATAAAAATGGAAAATTGCAAATTCCAAAGGAGAGACGAACGAATTGCAAATTCCAAAGGAGAGACGAACGAAAATTAACAGAAAAAAAGGCTCCGGTACAAAATATGGAATCGTTAAAATATGGAATCGTTAAAATCGCGAATAGGCTAAAAAGGGGTTAAAATACCGAATCGTTAAAATATGGAATGGTTAAAATATCGAATCGGGCAAAAAAGGGTTAAAATATGGAATCGTAAAAATATGGAATGTTTAAAATCTCGAATAGGCTAAAAAGAGGTCAAAATGTCGAATTCTTTTAAAAAGGGTCAGATGAGTGCCGTACGTTGATTATTGATAATTTTATCAGCTTATCAACCTATTGTTGATAATTTGATTGATAAGTTTCGTATGTCGTAGTCCGTCGCAATCTTTTCGGCCTGAGTTCACTGTATTTTACCGAGTAAAACCGGACCGGATAAATCAAGCATAATCGACCTGATCCGGTCCGGAATGATCGTGCGGATCCGGAAAACATAACGCGATCTTGATACGTCAAATTAGAGTGGAGTGCCTAGCTTCTAATAAAACCCGGAATTTTTTAACTGTACCGTATACGGTACAGAATACCGAAAAATACCGATCAGCTTTTAAATTTTATCGGTCGGCATTCCGCACCGTACTAGCGAAACGGAATACCTAAAAATACCGTCGGTATTACGGCAACGCCCGGATTCTAGGTTTTGGCGCCATTTTTAAAAAAAATTCGACATTTTGACCTATTTTGGTCGTGTCGACATTTTATCAATTCTATATTTTAACGATTCCACATTTTGACCCCTTTTTACCCTATTCGAGATTTTAACCATTCCATATTTTAACGATTCCATATTTTAACCCCTTTTTAGCCTATTCGCGATTTTAACCCATTTTTACCCGATTCGAGATTTTAACCCTTTTTTAGCCTATTCCATATTTTAACGATTCGGTATTTTGTCCGGACACGGAAAAAAAGAAGAGAAATATAATGGCAGAGCAGAGAAAAAAAGATACAAAAACGTTGATTCGCAGTTGTTTGGCGCAAAACGTTGATATTAACGTTGTTCTGGCGTTATGTATTTAAAAAAAAGTTGTTCGCGAATAATTGTTGATATTCGCCGCGAATCAACGAAAACGTTGATTTGTCGTTCACTACATGTATCTCATTTAAATATTTTCCGTGATCTTTCAAAAAATTAATTGCTTTCATTTATTGTATTTTATCAATGATAAAATTTAAAACAGTTTAATTATAAAATTTTAAATTATTATTTTTAACATGTGCCTATTTTATTAAATTCGTCTTTTACATTATTTTTATATTTTGTATTAGTTTTCTATGCCCCTAGAAGTTCGAAATCAAAGCAAAGTTTTTGAATTATTTCTGTTGAAACGTATTGATCGCGATTGGATTAATCACAAACTTCCTGCGGTAAAAAATTTGTTATATTAAAATGAAGTCCCATAAAAAAGGATTCTTGAAATGCGGTATCCTGGACTGACCTGAGTATATTGTAAAAATTATTGTATGACGAAAAATTTTCTAGTTTTCCTATTATTTTTCGGGGCTTTGTTACCTATTGCCTCTAATCATGAGCTTGTTACTAATTAATTAACATTTTAAAGGACGATATTCCAATACCACCAAAAGAAGTACCAGAACAAGACAGAGAATTAAATTTTCTTTTGGAAGCTAACGAAACTAATTGGCAAGATCAACGGCCTCCAAATTTTTGTTTTGATCATCGTCATTAAATTGTTTATTTAAAGAGTAATAAAAAATATTAGTAATGTTAACACGTAAAGAATTAATTGCAATGAGACTTTATGAATTTTTAACTTCTAATTCTGAAAAGGTTTTGAATAGAATTGAATAATGAATTATTTTTAAAATTAAGTTAAATGAAACAACAAAAGCTCGAATTTCCAATAAAGAAACTCGTGATAGTTTAATAGATTCTTTAGTTGATGGAACTGTTTTTTCTATTTTGGAATCCCTTAGTGATTTACAGGATTTGAAAGAAAAGTGAATTTTTTTGTTTTTTTGGAAAAAATATTTTTTTTAATTTTAAAGAGAATTTTGGGAACAAAGAGAAAGCAAAATTAGACAATTACGCGAATCTGGAAATTTTACAGATCAAAAGAAGCGAGAAATAGATAAAGGAATATTGGAAGGAATTGATGAAGTAATTTTCTTTAAAAAATATTTTTAATTTTTCTTTTTTAAAAGACAGTTAGAGAACAACAAAATATGCTTATTTGTGCAGGCCTTCCACAACCTTTATTTAAACAAAGTTTGGATTCTGAGGAATTACGTTTACAAATGTTTATTATTCAATTTATACTTACTTTGAGGGATATTTATGAAGATCAACAAAAATAATGAATTAGTGATTGGGGGGGGGGGGTGAATTGTTTTGATTATTTGAAATAAATTGAATAGATTTTTCTATAGAAATTAATTTTTCCACATAAATTATTTTTTTGGATTTGTAATTTTATAGTATTTATCTTTGTTTAAAAAACTCAGTTGTTTTTAATTTTCTTGTTGAAATTAAAAAGTTTTTTTTAAACTTTTGCGCGGTCAATTTTGGGGCTCAAAAATTGATCTCTCATTGCCATAAATAGTGAGAAAATTTTTTTGTTGTAAATTTCCCTTTTCTTTTTTTTTATTTCCGTTCTCGATGTTGTCATTTCATTGATTTTGAAAATGAATAAATTTGAGGACATAAAAAAATAAAAAGAATAAAATATAGAAGAAATTAAAATTTAAAGAAAATTAAAATAAAGTCTGTCGTTATTCGTTTTTTTAATATTTTTTTAGAAAATTAAAAATATCGAGAATTAATTTAAATAAAAAATTATGAAGTTAAAAAATGAAAATTTTATTTTTAGGGTAACGAAATAATTAAATGCTAAATTGATTTTTAATTATTTTTAATTAAGGAATTTTTAAATTAATTTCATAAAAAAATAATATTGTCCCTTTTTTTATTTTATTATTCTAAATATTTTAAACAAAATGATTTATTAAGTCTTGAAATTAATTTAGAAAAAGAAGATGTAAAAAATAAAAAAAATATTTTTAATTTAATTCTTAAGCTCTTATTTTTTTGTTTGTTGTTTAGACAAAAAAAACACTCAAATTTTTTTAATTTTCATTAAATAAACATTTAATAAGTTCAAAAATCATTCAAACAAAAAACTTTCCATTTTTGTTTCTTTTGTAAACTTCAGCATTTAAAAAGACAAAAAAATATTTTTTATTAATTTAATTTAATTTATTGAGTAAACCACAAAGTACATAAAAAAGTACAATTATAGTGGTAAAATAAAAAATAAATTTTTAAAATACTATAAGAAAATGTCATAATAAATTTATAAAAAAATGTCAATCTAGGAGGATAAGGGAGTTGCGAACTAAAACCTCTATTTTATAAAGTTATTAACAAGTACTCTAAATTTTTGCGAATTATATGTTTGTAAAATTTCATTAGGTAAGCTATTCCAGTTATTTATGATTCTATTAAAAAAATTATTTCTAGTTTTACCGTTAAACTTTTTGTTCCTTAAACAAAATATTTTCCTTTTAGCTTTTACTGCAAAATCAAAGTATTTTTGTGGGTCTAGATGCGTCTGTTTTGAAATAATTTTGTGCGCCATTACAAGATCGGCTACTTTTCTTCGATGGCTTAGTTGTTTTAGTTTGAATTTGTTAAGTCTTTGTTCATAAGGTAGTGGCGTTATTCCTGTGATTTTTAATGCTCTTCTTGTAAAATATTTTTGTACTCGCTCTATTTTATTAATTTGAAGAATTCTGTTTGGGTTCCAAATTTCAGTGGCATATTCAAGTTGAGGACGAATATAAGATTTATATACATTTATTAAAGTCTTAAATTCTCTAGTTTTTAATATTCTTAGTATTTGATAAGTTATAAAGTATGAATTTTTAACTATTTTATCAATATGTTTGTTAAATTTTAAGTTGTTATCAATTAGGATACCTAAGTCTCGTACGCAATCTGATGTGTTTAATGTTTGATTAAATATTTTATATTCCTGTTTAAGGTTTCCTTTTCCTATATAAAGTATTACACATTTCTTAATTGATATTTCTAAAAAGTTTGATATAACCCAATTTTGTAATATTGTTATTGATTCATTAAGATAATTAATATTAGAATCATTATTATGTGAAATATAAAGCTTTATATCATCTGCATATATTTTATAGCCTATTTCTTTTGGAAGGTTGACAGGGAAATCATTAATAAAGATTGTGAATAAAATAGGTCCCAAAACACTGCCCTGGGGAACACCTGAATATGTATGAAAAGATCTTGAAAACGAGTCATTTATTTTTACACGGTAGGATCGTCCTGTTACAAAATGCTTTATGAATTCAAAAATTTTTCCAGATATACCAGCATTTTTAACTTTTGTAAGTAATAAATTTATTGGAACTGTGTCAAAAGCTTTTTTTAAGTCGATATAAATTACATCTATATTCTGATTGTTACCTACTGCATTGTAAAAATCTTCTAACATTGTTAGAAGTTGTGTAGTAGTAGATCTTGATTTGAGGAAACCAAATTGATTTTTATCAAAAAAATCCTTATTATGTAAAAATTCTATAATATTATTAGCTATGATTCTTTCAAAAACTCTACATAATGTACAAGTTAGGGAAATTGGCCTATAATTTTCTGGATCTGTTGTTATTCCTTTTTTATGTATAGGTACTATAATTGATGTTTTCCAAATGTCGGGTATATTTTTACTATCTAATATTAGTCTAAAGATTTCTGTAATATATTGTGCGATTTGATCACACGATCTCTTTAATAATATATAGGGTATTTGATCTGGTGATGTTGAATTTCTATTTGGAAGTCTTTTAAGTAAATCTAGAATTTGCAGAATATCAAAGTTTATATCTTTGATAAGATTTTGTGAATTAGAGTTAGGATTTTGAGAGTAGACGTCAATAAATTCTTGACTTTGAGTTTCTTTATCAGTGAAGTTACTTTGAAAACTTTCTGCAAGTAACTCACATTTTTCCTGATCTTTTGTAAGTATATTTCCTTTTTTATCTATTAATGCGTCAATACATGCGTTTGTTTTAAGTTTCTTTTTAATAAATTTGTGAATTGCATTTGCACCTTTTGATATAATGGTGTTCTCCTTATTATAATGAAATTTTTGTAATTGAATTTTAAGTTGTCGTGAGATAATTTTATATTTTGTTGCTAGATTAGAATTAGGAGATTCCTTCAAGGTTTTGTGTAATTTTAGTTTTTCTTGATTCAGAGATCGGATTTTTTGTGGATATTCGTTTTTAATTATGGTATTTATAGTCCTAAGTGGTATGAATTTATCATAATAAAAATATAGTATTTCAGTAAAAGAATTATATTTTTCATTGATTGCATATTTGTCAGACATATATTTTATAAAATCAAGTTGTGTTAGCTCTATGTTTAACTTGGAGAAACCTTTTTCTGTTACTTTTCTTATATATATCTTCTTTTTTGGAATACGCATAGTGCATAAGGAAAGATTGAACTTTAAGGATTTGTGATCAGATGTTGAAAAATTTTCAGTGATCTCTAAATTTCTAACTAAGTCATGGGGTCTCGAAAATACAAGATCTAAGATATTATCGCCGCGAGTAGGTGATGTAACATGTTGTTTAATTTGGGTGCGATTAACAAATTCAATAAATATTTGTGTAGTATTATCGTTTGAACAAGAGTTTGTTAACCAGTTTATTGTGTTAATATTAAAATCACCAGCTATTATTAAGTTTTTATGGTTTAAGTCAGCAATATATTTAAGTATTTTATTAGTACTAGATTGATTAAGTGATGGGGGTCTATATAAAGTAATAACAATAGTAGGTTTGGTAATTAGAATCTCAATAATAATAATTTCGCAACCAAATAATTTCGCAACCAATAGTGTGTTTGTTGATTTAACAACTCTACAATTTTGCAATAAATTTATTTAAATAAATATTAAATATTTTTTAATATTACTTATAAAAATCTTTCAAAAAAATTAATTTTGTGAAAATAAAATAAATAAAAATTAAATATTTTAAATTTAAAATATCCAGACTTTTCTACAATAATTTTATAAAGTTTAAAGATTTTATAAATCCCTCAAAACTTTTACACAATCTCTCCATCAAATTTTAAATAAAAAATATTTTTAATTTAAAAATAAAATGACGCATTCTTAATTACTTTTTTTAATTAATTAATTTTTTTAAATTTCCCCAAAAATCATTTCAAGATTAAAAAGCGGGACGAGGCCAAAAAAGAAGTGGGGAGGAGGAGGAGAAAGGCGAAAAGAAGAAGATGATGATCGTTAAATAAATTTTTGTTTAAATTTTGCGCATTAAAATGTTCATTTTAAAGGAGAAGATTGGTTTTCGAATTTTAAATTTCTCATATGTTTAGATAGTCAGCCGGACAGTTTTTTAAATTTTTTTTTTAAATTAAAAATCAAATAAATTTTTAATTTTGTTTAAAGGTAATTAATTATTAATTATTTTTATATAACTTTTTAGCCTAAAATTATTTTAAAATTTATTTTTATTTAATTTCAATTTTAAAAATGGCTCTTAAGTTTAAGGCTTTTAAGTGTAAGCTATTTATTAGGGTTTCACCGGAAGTTCCGGTTCCGGTTCCGGAAAGTTCCGGTGTTTTTTTGGTTCCGGTTCCGGTTCCGGGAACCGGAACTCAAATTGGTTCCGGTTCCGGTTCCGGCTCCGGTTTTCAAATCGGTTCCGGGCAAACCGGAACTTTTTTACACCCCTAAAGATTGATTTTTTTAAAATATTGGTTGGCCTTCCCCGGCTGGACTTGTAATATTCTCAAAATTTTCGCCTGCGGCGCTAGAAAAGGAAGAAATCTAGCTCCTTGTCCTCACAAATTCTCAAAATTTTGCCTGCGGCGCCAGAAAAGGAAGAAATCTGGCTTCTTATCTTTGCAAATTCTCAAAATTTTCGTCTGCGGCCGCTGTTAAATGAAGTTGAATGGTATATCGGAAGATTTGGATGGATGAAGGTGGATTTAAAGTTACATCATGTGATTTAAAGGGGTCATAGGTAATATCGAGGGATTTGGGTGTGATATCGAGGGATTGAGCTGTGAAAGGTAGATATCAGGGTAGGATAGCTGGGGATTTGGCACTCACTTGGCCTTCCGAAATTCACAGTTATTTTTGAGAATTTGCATGGATTAATGGGGATTTGGATGATATTTGGTGATTCCGTGTATCAAGAGTTATAATGGTATAACGGTGATTTGATATCTAGGGATCTGATGGGATGAAAAATAGTTGGAAGAAATTCAGGGATCAAAGAGTATATCATATAATTAGTGTCGTATCGGGTATATCAGGGGATTTTGGTAGTTCGGTTCGGTTTTACGGTTAGGTTTTGGTTAACCGAAAGTTTCGATTCGGTTAGTCGTTTCGGTTAACACAATAATTGGGTGAAACCGACAACCCTGCTTTAAATTCAAATTTCTTTTAATTTTTTTTAACTTTTTAAATTTGCTAGCAAATTTTTTTAAAGTTCCGGTTCCGGTTCCGGTTCCGGGCCGGAACTTAGAAAAGTTCCGGTTCCGGTTCCGGGAACCGGAACTCAAATTGGATCCGGTTCCGGTTCCGGTCAAAATTTTGGTTCCGGTGAAACCCTACTATTTATTTCCTAAGGCAGTAGGCGGCGTGGTGTAATGGATGACACACCAGTCCGGTCTACTGAAGATGCTAGTTCCCTCCCAGCCGCCGAATACCCCTTTGCACTAGCTAAAGGAGAGAAATAGCCCAACTGCTAGAATTTTTTCCAAAAAATAATATACCTTTAATTAATTCTTCAAAATTCTATTAAAGAAAGTGATTTAATTTTTAGTTAAAAAAATGTCAAATAAATGGATTCCAAAAGATGGAGTTGTTATAAAAACTCCACAACAACCAACAACAATAATTCCAACAAACAATTTGAATGGAATAAATAAAATAAAAACAAAAAAAGAAAAAAATAAAGAAGAAAATATATTTTCTGTTTGGTTTAGTTCTTGTTTTAAACAACGAAATAATAAAACAAAATTTGGAGGAGCAAAACAAAGAACAAGGACAAGAAGTAGAAGTTGTTCTGTTAATAGAAAACAATTTGAAGGGTAAAATTCAATTAATTTTTAAATTAATATTATTAGTATTTGAATAATATAAGGAAAAGAAAGATTATTTAAGTTAGTTCCAAGGTAACCCTAATTTTTCAAGGGAACCTTGGACCCACACCTTCACTTTCACTATATTTATGTTAATTTTGTATATCCATCTTTAAATGATAAATTTAGTAATTGATGGGAGAAACTCAGAAAAAAAGGGGAAACTAGGAGGAGGAGGGGGAGGGGGAGAGAGGGAGGAGGAGACCCGAAAAATAAAAATTAAAAAAACAAAGTCAATTAAATTAATTATTATGTATATCTTATATCCTTTTAAAAAATAATTTTTCAGAGCATTTTGTGAACATGTTTGGGATTTGAGACAATTATGTTTATTCTTTCGAGATTCTAATATAAATGTAAAACAACCACAAAAAAGTTCAGGATTAACTTGGGAATTTGCAAAAGCCCAACTTTTACTGAAAGGAAGGAATGTTTTGCCTAAACCGAGAGAAATGGGGAAGTGGGAATTGTTGTTGAAACAATTTTGGAATTTACTTTGGGTATTGTTAATTGGTGCTAGTTGCTTGTCTTTATTACAATTCTTTTTGGATACAAGGTACATAAAATGATATATTGTATTAATTACCCAGGGTTTTTTGGTTTCAAACCTTGACTTGAGGGAGGGTTAATATTTTAGGGAGAGGGTAATACATATTTCTTTTTCTTTTAAAATAATGCTCGGATATTATTTTCCTAGTAGGGGGTATTATTTTAATTAAAAACACTCGGATATATTAAATTATCAAAAATATTATTTTTTTAATAAATAGTGGAAATCTTTTTTAAAATAAAGTAAAAACTTGTTGAAAAATTTAAAATATTTTTGGGAAAAAGAGAGAAAAATGAAATTTAAAATTATTATTTCTAGTGAATTAATTAATTTATGGATTACTTTAATTTTGTTTGGAATGATTTTTGTAATGTGTTTAGTTAGCTGGTTTCAAGAAATGCGTGCAAGACAAGTATTGAAATTAATTACGATTGTTCATAATTAAAAATTAAAAAGGTTGTTCATGGCTTTCAACGTCTTCTTCCCCAATGTAGCCAAGTAATTAGGGAAGGGAAGGAAAGTAGTATATCTGCACCAGATCTTGTAGTTGGGGATGTTGTACATATAAAGTCTGGAGAGAGAGTACCTGCTGATTTAAGGTAAAAATAAACAAATAAAATAAATAATATTAAATTTCTAAAAAGATTATTGCATTGTATTCAACTTCGTTTGGAAGCTTCTTCAATTACTGGAGAATCAGAACCTGTAGAATATCAATCAGAAGAGGTCTCTGAACGTTTTAGTGTTTTTGAAGCTAGAAATGTTGCTTTTAATGGATCTTTATGTGTTGAAGGGGAAGGGTTTGGAGTTGGTTGGTTTTAAATTTTAAATATTTTTTTAAATTAAATTTTAAATCTTTCTAATTTTTAAAAAAGATTTCTAAAATTAAAAAAATATTTTCACAGTTTTAATAAAAAGAATAACTTCAAAATTATTTTTAGAGTCAAAAGAGAAAATAAAAAGGCTTTCTTTCGGCCCATGTAGTATAGTGGTTAGTACTTCTCGTTGTGGCCGAGACGACGTAGGTTCGATTCCTGCCATGGGCATTCTTTTTTAATTTTCCTTCTTCTAATGAAAAAAGTTTTTTCCCTAAATTTTTCTAATTAAAATAGATTTGTAAAATTTTTAAATATTTTTTTGAATTTTATGTTGAAAAAACCTTTATTTAAAAATATTTTTCTCCCACAGTTATTAGAGTTGGAGAAAATACAGTAATTGGCCAAACAGCTAAATTAACAACCGGACAAGAACCCAATGGCTCCAGATTAGAGGCACAAATAAGAAAATATGTTAAATTTCTTATAATAATGGCTTGTTCTGTTGCTTCTATAATATTTATATTTGGGGGATTTGTCCATCATTGGAAGGATGTTACACATTTATTGGCAAATGGATTTCTTGTTTGTGCTATTGGAATGGTAGAAAAAATAATTAATAAAAATTTTAAAAAATATTTAAAGGTTCCTTGTGGATTACCAGCAACTGTTACTTCAATTTTAACGCTTGTAGCAAGGCGTTTGGCAAATCGAAATGTTTATGTAAAAAGATTAGATATTTGTGAGGCTTTGGGGCAAGTGAGTATTATTGCCTCTGATAAAACTGGAACGTTGACGAGAAATGAAATGACAGTTACTGGACTTTGGAATTTTGATGGGTTTATAAATGGTAAATATTTACTAGAAGAAATAAATAAAGGCATACATAAATCTGAGAATAAATTATTTTTTAGAAAAAAATATTTTTAGTTATTAAAGAAATTTCCAAAAATTTATCCTTTTTATTTAATTAATTTAAAGGATATCCACAAAGTGAACACCAATTAACACTTAATTCATTTGGAAGTGAGGGAGTACCATCAACCCCAACAACAGCACCTCCATGGACTTTGCGTTCAATAGGCGGCAATAGATTTCCACATCCAATTTCTGATATATTAACTTGTATGAGTGTTTGTAATACTGCCGTTTTAAATTTAGAAGATGAAGATAAAACAACAGAAATTAGTAAAAAGGTGAAAATAAATTTATGAATAATTAAAATATTGGGGAGATTAATGAATAGAACTTTTAGAAAAGGAATTTTTTAAAGATTCTTTTTTAAAGCCATAGCTAACAAAACTCAAATTAATTATTTAGGGTTGAAATTTTTATTAAATTTTTCATAGGAAGAACACAGAAAAGTTAGCAGAGCAGATTCACTTAAAGCAGTTCTTTGGGCACAAAGTTCATTGCGTGGAGAACCAAAACATTTTAATGTTTCTACAATAAATGAAGAAGAAGAAACAATTAAATCCCCCGACACAATTGAAAAAGGAATTGAAAATTCTCAACAGAAAAAACAACACAGGCCAATAGCCAATAAACGTTCAATTAAAATGTCACAAAAACATTCAACAGCTATTGGAACACCTTCAGAAGTTGCAATGCTTAATTATGCAGCCACTTTAATTAATGTACATAAATGTAGACAAGAATATGAAGATGTAAATTATTTAATTAAAAAATATTTAGAGATTAACACCTCCTAGCTTTAATTAATGTAAAGTTTCCTCTAATCTTAGCTGATAAAATAAAAAAAATGAAACCCAAAACCATAGACGATAAAAGAGTTAATACCTATTTGCTTTAGAGGCAATCCAATATTTAAAAAAAATTTTTTAAAGAAAATATTGGCTAATTTAATACATATTATTTACAACCAAAATTTTTTTACAATTTTTTAAAATTATTTTTAGGTAGCCTTTGAAATCCCTTTTAATTCAAAACGTAAATGGCATTTAAAAATAATTCGAATGGGTGTTCAAGGTGAAGAAGCAGAATATAGACTTTTCATTAAAGGAGCTTCTGAAGTTTTGGCCAAAATGTGTTCACAGATTTTAACAAAAAATGGAATTAAAGAATTTGGGAGAAATAAGGGAATTGAGGAACTTGAAGTAAATTTGTTTTTAATTAATTAATTGGGGAGGGAGGGAGGATTATATGTAGTAGAGGCAGGTAACTGCCAAAAATCAAATATTTGATTAAACAAATATTTTAGTTGGTCCTATCTCTAATTTTTATTATTTTTAGTATTTTACTAAAAAATATTTTTTAAAAAGGCAGCCTATACAGAATTTGCAAATGGTGGCCACAGAGTTATCGGTTTTGCTCAAACAACTTTTCGTGCACCTGTTGATGTAGAATTTAGTTTGGATATTGGGAATGTTCCTTTAAATGGTTTAATTTTTCTTGGTGTTTGTGCAATTATGGACCCGCCTAGGGAAAAAACAAAAGAAGCCATAAATTCTTGTAAAACTGCCGGAATTAAAGTTTTTATGGTAACTGGAGATCATCAATTAACAGCATGTGCAATAGCTAGACAAATTGGGTTAATTGATGAAAATGGAGGGAAAATAGAAATAAATAATGGAGGAGGTAGTAAATTAACTAATTGAGAAATATTCTTTAAATTAGAAAATAATCTACCTGAAGAAGGAAAACCTTGGGAATTCGATCCAAAAAATGACTGGGCAGTTGTACAAGGACAACAAATTTCTCGTTTAACAGCCGAGCAATGGGATCAATTAATTTTAAAGAAAAATTCGGTTGTTTTTGCGAGAACAACGCCCGAACAGAAATTATTTATTGTTGAACAATGCCAAAAAAGAAAACAAATAATTGCTATGACTGTTAGTTTATTTGGAGGGGAGGAGGGGAATATATTTAAATAATTAAATAATTAAAGGGTGATGGTGTAAATGATGCCCCAGCATTGAAAAAAGCTGAAATTGGAATTGCAATGGGTTCGGGGAGTGAAGTAGCTAAACAAGCTGCCGATATTGTTTTAATTGTAAGTTTTTTGGTTAATAAAAAGAATTCTTATTTGTAAATTAAAAGGATGATAATTTTTCTTCAATTGTTCAAGCTGTAAAAGAAGGGAGAGCAATGTATGAAAATATTAAAAAAGTAATTAAATTAATTAAATAATTTTAAAATATTTTGTTTAAAGTTATTAGCATATACAATGCCCCATTCATTCCCAGAAGTTTGGCCAATAATTATTAATTTTTGTTTTGGAATGCCTGTTGGAATAACTGCTTTACAAGTAATTAATTAATTAAATTTATAAAATATTCTTTTAATTTTTCCAAAGATTTTATCAATTGATTTGGGGACAGAAATATTTCCCGGAATTTCTTTGGCAAACGAAAAACCGGAGGGGGATGTAATGGCTAGACCCCCTAGAGCTGTAAATAAAGTTTTGATTTCTAATGGATTACTGGCTTATTCTTATATTTATACTGGACAAATACAAGTAAATATTGGGGGTTGGACAGGACCGGTTAATTTTTGTTTGAGACGTCTAACATAGAGAAAAAATAAGAGTATTTGATACAGGCAAAAATTAACCAGTCATGTCCAATTCTAGTAAATATTTAAAATATTTATATTTAATTAATTTTTTTTTAGTCTCTTGGATGTTTTTTAGCTTATTGTTATGTTTTTTGGTGTAAAGGAATTAATATATTAGATTTGCCCTTTTCTGCATTAAATTGTTGGAAGAAAGGAGGGGATATTTTTAAAAGTAATGGACATGAATTTTCTGTTGAGCAGCAATTATTAATTGGAAGACAGGCAACGAGTGCTTGGCAAATGGGAATTGTTTTTGGACAATTTTTTAATATTTGGAGTGCCAGAACTCGAAGAATTTCCCTTTTTAAACACGGATTTTGTTCAAATCAAGCATTAATTAAAGCGTTAATAATTGAATTAATATTAATTAATTGTTATGTTTATTTGCCTGGTTTAAATGAATTTCTTGGAGGGGCAGCAATTCCTTGGCAATGTTGGGTTGTTGTTGCTGCTGTTGGAATTTTTATAAATATTTATAATGAAATAAGAAAATATTTTATTAGACATTATCCGAAAAATAAAATTGTTAGATTATTTAAATGGTAATTTAAATTTGGGTAGGTCGCTCCCCGTACCTCGACGATTTTGTGACAAAAACCCCGACCCAAACCCCTAAGGCTCTACACCGACAAACCCTGAACCCGGACGCCCACCTCCGTGTGGGCCTATCACGAAGGTTCGCGGAGTTACCCTAATTTAAATTACTATAATTGAGTTGTTGACGTACCGAAAATTTTGATATTTCTTGCCAAACATTAATAATCGTTTTTGAAATTATAAAAACCAAAAATTTTTGAAAATGAGTTCCTTAAGGAAATCAATATTTAACTAAAATTCAAAACCGGTCGCCAACAATTCTAGTAATTCGAAAAAAAATAAATGGAATTATTTAAATTTATTTTTATGAAAATAATTTAAAATATAAATTTAAATATATTTTTTAATTTACAAAAATAATTTCCAACAAATTTTTGTGCATAATTTAAAAATAAATATTTTTTATAAAAATAAATTCTCTTTTTTTTCTTTTTTAATTTATTTTCTTCTTAACATCTCTAATACTAAAAATAACTTTATGACGAATGTCAAAAAAAGCACAACAATGATAAGATATTGTAAGGAAAACATCGATATATTCGGCTATAGCAAATACATCATACACTAGAAATTAAATTTAAATTTAAATATAATTATCAGAACATCCACATAAGAAATTTGAAGATAAAGGGATTTTGATTTTGGGTTGTCCGGTTCTTAGTAAATCTCCGAATATCCGGATATGAAACCGCTAACAAAAGACATAATTTCTGGATATCCGGACACAAATGTGGTGGAATACAAATGAGGACCTTCTATATTCAAATAAATATTTAAATAAATTTAAATTACTGATAGTAATGCATTTCCTCCAATATAAAATAAAAGCACCAAACAAAATAGGCATTGAAATAATAAAAAGAATTGTTACTATTATTTTTATATAATAGGAAATTCTTCCCTAAAATTAATTTTTAATTGTATTAAATTTAAATTAGAAAAAATAATAAAAAATTTTTTTTTATTTTTTTAATTTCACTTAATTTCACATTTAATTTACAAAAAACATTTACATAAGGATTTAAATAATAAAGGGATTGTGAATGGCAAACAACATTTGTAATAAAAAATCCAGTAGCAAACCCACCAAAAGCATAAAAGAAAACAACATGATAAGCTTTAAATAAAATTAAAATTTAATTTAAATTATTTACATATAAATTCTCTTTCTCCAACAACAGAAAGGGCAATCAAAAAAATTAATTCAAAACATCCAAATATTAAATATAAATATCTACTTAAATTATATATTTTTGGCCATTTACAATTAATTAAACGAAGACGGTCGTAACGATAAACTTTTTTTGAAATTAAAAATTTAGAATTTAAAATTTAAAATTAAAATTTACATCCAACAGCAATTTCCACAATTCTTAAAGGAATGTGAAAAAGAAAAGTAAATTGCCAAAAAATTCCTGAAAAAAGGGAAAAATTAAATAATAATTCTACTCCTGCCTCTTTTTGAATCAAAATAATTTTTGAATTAAAATAATTTAACCGTTCTAATTAAAGAGACCGGATGGAGACCGGACTTGGTTAGGGTGGTTGATATTTTTCGGGATATTTTCCTTATCTCCCAATACAGTCTCCAATTCTAATATTTTTCTTTTAAATTCCAAATAATTTATTTTTAAACTTACTTTCCATAGGAAGATTTATAATACGTGAAAGTGAAGGTAATCGAGCTCTCTTAAATTTCAAAATAATTTTTTCAAAATTAAAGAAAAATACCCCGCATTGCCAATTATAATTACTAAAAAATATTTTTTTAATTAAAAATTAAAAATTATTTCTAGCCTTATTTCATCATTATGAACAATTAATGCTGTTATTATTGAACCAAAAGCTCCAAAAAAAGGAGGAATACATCCAAGAAAAAAACTTTTAAAAATTATTTTATTTTTTAAAAATTACTAAATATTTACAGATTTAAAGGATTTAATTTCAATAATTCTTTAACTTCCAATTCTGGTTGTTCTGATTTTTTTAAATAAATTGGGGGAAATCTGTTAGATTTTAATTTATTTATTTTATTATTTTCATTTAATTTTTCTGATTTTGAAATAAAAATTGTTGAAGGTAATGGAGGGGGATTAGAAGAAAATAATTTTTGTTGTTTATTAGGTAAAGGATATATTTTTGAAGAAGACATTTTCTTTTTAAAAAATAAATTTTAAAAATAAATATTTATTTTATTTAAATATATCCAGTTCCAGATGGATGACCACGAAAGAATCAAAAAACTAAAAGAGAATATATTTAAAGAATTCTTGGTTTGTCGATTAGCCGATCAAAAAAAGGAAAGAAAGGGAAAGCGGAAGCAGGAACAAGTAGAAAAGAAATAAAAAAATAAAGAAAGAAACAAGCCCTTGAAAAATATAAATTTTTAAAGCGCGAAAAATAAATAAAAAAAGAACAGAAATTGAAAATATATAATTTTTATAGGAAGGAGAATTTATTGGATATTGGATGTATTTTTATTAATAATTTAAAGAAAAAAATAAAATTGAGAGGAAATTATTAGTTAAAAATATTTTGAAGTTAATTTTGTTTTCGAAATACGTTATACATGAAACTTTAATAATATGTAAAATCATTGGAATCGAATAATTATTGGCAAAGTTGCTATAGATAAGTCACTTTCAGATATTATTAGAACTATTTATTTCCTAGGCGGTACACAAGCATCAACTGAAGATGCTTGTTTCATTTTGCACTAGCTAAAGGGGAGAAATAACTAAATATAGCCCAGCACTGGTACCTGCTGATTTAAGGTATAAAAAGATTATTGCATTGTATTCAACTTCGTTTGGAAGCTTCTTCAATTACTGGAGAATCAGAACCTGTAGAATATCAATCAGAAGAGGTCTCTGAACGTTTTAGTGTTTTTGAAGCTAAAAATGTTGCTTTTAATGGATCTTTATGTGTTGAAGGGGAAGGGTTTGGAGTTGGTTGGTTTTGAAAATTTTAAATATTTTTCTAAATTAAATTTAATATTTTGTTAATTTTTTTAAAAAATTTCTAAAATAAGAAAACTTTACAAAGAATAATTTTAATATAAAATTATTTTTAGAGTCAAAAGAGAAAATAAAAAGGTTCTCTTTCGGCCCATGTAGTATAGTGGTTAGTACTTCTCGTTGTGGCCGAGACGACGTAGGTTCGATTCCTGCCATGGGCATTCTTTTTTTTAATTTTATTTCTTTTAATGAAAAAAGTTTTTTTTTCTAAATTTTTCTAATTAAAATTTCTAAATTTTTTAAAATATTTTTAATATTTAAATTAAACCCAATTAAATAATAAATAATATTTAAATTTTAAGGAATCGATCTTAGAAATCGAACTGGGAGAGCGCCGAATAAAATATATAAAATTGGGTTCCGTTGTAAATTAATTTTTTTCAAAATTTTCTAGAGTATAAAAGCCTTACAAACTTTAAATGATTAACGCTCTCACAAAACACCTCTGTTGGGGTTTGTGCTCATTGTCTGCTACCTTCAGTGTTCGCCTGCTCAGTGTTTGCCTGCTCATCTACTTCAGTGTGCGCCTGCTCAGTGTTCGCCTGCTCGTCTACACTTCAATCGCCAGCCGCAATGCTTGTTCGCGAGTACAGGATAGTGATGCCTATGACTACAGCAGAGTTCCAGATTGGACGGGCGTTTGCCTACATGGAGACGGCTCGAAAAGTAAAATTTTATTTTTACTTTCTGTTGTTCAAAACTAAACTTCTCATTATTTTTAGCAAACACACAAAGGAGAAGGAGTGGAAATTCTGCAAGACGAGCCATTCGACAACATTCCACTTTGTCACGGGCGCTACAATGAAGGGCAGTTCACCCACAAAATCTACCACCTGAGATCGTAAGTTTATTTTAAGAAAATTTGCTCGAAAGCTCAAGTCATCTCTTTTTCTTTTTCAGTAAAATTCCATCATTTGTCCGACCATTTGTACCGAACGGCCTCACCCGGATTCACGAGCATAGTTGGAACAGCTTTCCATATCTACTGACAGAACTCTACGCTCCTGAATGGGACGAAAATCGGGAAAAGTTCAGCATCCGATTCGAGACACTTTGTTTGGACAACAATAGAGGAAAAGATGAAAATGTTTGTTATTAGACATTTTTCACATTAACTCTAAACTGACCATTTTTGCAGGCTTTGGGACTGGGCAGTGATATGCTGAAGCGCCGTGAAATCGTCAAAATGAACATTGGGGAGGACAATACTAATGTGAGAATGCTTAAATCTTTGAAAAATAATTTTTTTTCAAATTTCAGTTTCGTTCCAAACGCGCAAAAAGAGGGCCTCTGGTCGGCAACTGGCAAGAGAAATGTAAGCCCTGCATGTGCGTCTACAAAGTTGTGACAGTTAACGTCAGGACACACTTTCCGGGAGCTGAAAAACTAGTTGAGCTTGTGAGTTTTGAGGATTATTTTAGAATAATCAGAGAATATATATTCTAAAATCAAAATAAATATTTTCATTTTTCTTTCAGGAACACCGAAAGATCAACGCCAAATTCCACCAGCAAATCTTCACTTCTATGGACAGCTGGTTTGGGCTGACTTGGGACGAGGTTCGAGAACAGGAAGTGCAACTTCGCACAGAATTGGATACGCAACGTGCAGCTAGTTTGGTCACCGCTTCTTCTCGTTGAGATGGGGGATAATGAAGAATAGATGATAGAATGAGAGATCTAATATTCACATAACTATGTAAATTGTTGTATATTTCTTAAATATTCACCATTAATTGTATTGTTTTGTCTGACTATAAATTTGTTATTTTTATCCATTGATTTTAAAAAGTGAGAGGTGAAACATCGAAAAAAGCGAATATCCGCCAGTCCCCGCTATGAGGAGAAATTTCCAGAGATCCTTTGTTAAAATAATTTACACATTAGAATCATTTATTCTAAATATCTCCAACTCTTAAATTGGAGTATTTTA